AATAGTCCATAACATGTATATCCAATGTTGTGGTTGCGTTGTTTATTGATGTCACTATTGCATCCAAATCCCAAGTTCGTTTTGAATCCATCAAAGTTTTTGGCGATGTCTTTAAATAGTTGTTTCTATGATTTATCTATAAACTTCTTACCGCAACATAAATTTCACTTTCTTCTTCATTGATATTGATTTTCAATGGGTTTTCCATGTTGTAACGTGTTTCTGACGCCAAAGTAAGACTTGGAAGATTCCAATAATTATCAAAAATTCCTTCCAAATCTTTCACTAGACAGCCGCAATCACTTATCAACACTCCAATTTCAAGTTTCTATAATAATTTTTGCAATAATTGGTTTTCATTTTCTCAATACTTGGTTCAATGATCGCCAATCTAAGTTTGCTGAGCCGATATAAGCGTGTTTCTTGTCAGATATGATAAACTTACTGTGCATTTTACCTCTGCCCAATAGTTTTTGAAAATCAAGTGATTTCCTTTTGATTGCATCTTCAAAGAGATATCATTCGATGTTTTGTTTACATCTTAAAACGAACTGTGATTCTCCAAAATTTTTCCATCAATGTTGTCTCCTCTATCTTTCGGAGCATAGTTCTCAATCATTTTGATGTTGACGTTCTGTTTTGTTCCAGCATCGAATATTGCACGGAAAATATCGTCACCCTAATGTTTCGTTCATAAGTGGGGGTGGGAGAAATAAAAACTTTAAAACCTGTTGTTGTGATGTGATTTCGACATCTTGAAGAACGTGTTTCTTCTGAAGACTACTTTTGTATGCGGCAATCAAGAGCTCATATTTTGAATTTTTAATAAGATCCATCCATGCATGATAAGTTTGAATTCCAGTAAAATTATTCCAATATACCAATTGTTCGGGTATCGTTTGTACTATTTGAAGACTATTTATATATAATGATGATTAAAATGCATTGTTAGATAGCAAATAGTTTACTTGCATGTCCGTGAGCAATCACTCTGGTTATCATTCTCGATTATAGATGAAGTTGGTGCAAAAATGATTGAAATAATGATTGTCGGAATCAATAATATTGTTAATGACTGAAAGACCATTTATACTTTGATATGCATGAATCATAGAGAGAAAGAGAGAGAGAAAGATAGAGAGAGAGAGAGAGGGGAGAGCTCACCTTGAACAGAGTAATAACTTCTTTCTTCATTAAGAAAATGAGATGTGAACAACTTGTATGCATTGTAATCACTCATCAATAGCAATGAAGCTCTGATGAAATTTGATTATTTATGTGCTACTGTCTTATCAGTGATTAGCTATCATTTACGTAGTTAATGAACGTAAAAAGTCCATTTATATACATATATTAATTAAATATTCCTTAAGCATATTCCCTAAAGACGTCATCAATTGTTTGAACAGTTCCTTAATCCATGCTGTTCTTTATATATTTTCCTAACATTTACGCACTTTATCATTGATTTCCTTGCATGTCTGATAATGTGAGAAAGATAAAGTATCATCTAGAACAATAGAATTGTCAATAGATGATTATATATTTAATTAAATGTATAAATAGTCTATTAAAATAGAATAATAATTACAAAAATTAAAAAATTGAACAAAAAAAAGAATAAAAAACAATAATAATAATAATAATATTTATTTAAGTTTTACACACACAATAATTATGTTTTTGGGATTGATAGCTGCCATCCTGTTGGTTGTACTTCATTTTGCATATCAGTAAGAAGATACATTACATGTTAATGAATTATTTTTTTTATATATTATTATTGATTATAGGAGAAGACGAAACCTGAAAACACTTGCACGTAGTGGAGTTCCTATAATACCATCTGATAATGTTATATTGGGAAATTTAAAAACATTCATATCATCAACATCTGTATTTGATTATGGTTTGTTATCGAAGAAGTATGGTAGATCGTTTGGAATGATGCTTGGTATCTTTCCTGTTATTGTTACAAATGATATTGATGTCATTCATGATATATGTGTCAAGCATTATGATCATTTTCATGCTAAAATGGTCGGTGGGTTGATTCAGATAGCATTTACAGTTACTTTATCATAATACAGACAAATCCATTAGATCCAGATCCTATTTATTCAACAAAGGTACATATGTTCAATGCAACTGGTGAACGATGGAAAAGGATGAGAGCTGTCACAAGCAGAGCTGTTTCAGCTAACAATATGAAAGAAGTTCTATCATCATTAGTGATGATTATTCACTCTACTCATAGTTATTCGAGATCGTCAAAGACTCCACTGTTTGTTTCATTGATTTTGTGAATGAGATGATTTATAATGATAATGATGTCGCAGTAATCGATAACAGTCATCGGTATTCCATTGTTCTTCATTCAACAGTCACATATGCTTTACAGATTGTTCCAAAACCACACTTCGGATGTGTTGAGTCGATGTGTCTTTGGTCAAAAAACTTCAATACATAAGAAGAATACGTATCTCAATCTATTTTACTCTGTTTTTGGAGAACGTCTGAGAATGGACTTTTCAAAGAATACCCTGTCTTGTGAGTTGTCAAGTGGAGAAATAATGAAATTATATTTGCAGGGAGTTTTCCTGCTGTCATGCGATTGTATGACCGATTTGCTAGCTGTGTAGCTCTCATTAAAGAAAGAGTCACACGTTTCAAGCCTCAAAACGCTCAATTCTTCGAACTTTTACACGTTTTGTACCTTTCACACGAAGCGGGAAACCAGAAATTCGATTTTCTACAATTCTTTAAAAATGCCGAAAAGTTTGATGATGCATTGCCTTTAGAGAAGAAATTTGGAAGAGTGGATTTTTCGAAAACTGCTATTCAGCACGTTCTACTAAAACAGGTACGACTTTCCGTTTTCTTGTTCCAATTCTTTACAGGAAGTGTTGGCACAATGCCGATTCATCTCAATTGCTGGATTTGATACTACAGCTAACACACTATCTTTCCTACTATACTTGTTAGCCAACAATACTCATTGCAAGGTAACTAGGCAGTAGAGAAATGAGCTGTTATGAGTATTAAAGACTCGATTGGAAGAAGAAATTGAAAATTGCGAACATTTGAATTATCACGCTTTATCATCTTTAAAATTTCTTCATAATTGTATTTTGGAAACATTAAGGTTATATCCTCATGCATCACCGTGAGTTGAACATCTTTGAATTCTTAAACATATGAGTTTCAAGATTGCATCAGAGACGTTGTATGGAGTCTATCAAGATTAATGATGTTCAGTTCGAGAAAGGAATGAATGTGATTGTTGACACTTGGTCAATCCATCGAAATCGTCAAATATGGGGAGAAAATGCATCAACGTTCTGTCCAGATAGGTTTTTGTTTTCAGCTTTTCTTTCAGATCTTACAGCTGCTCCCTTTCAGATTTGAATGCTTAACAGAGAAACAAAAGAAAGCTTTTATGCCGTTTGGTCTAGGACCAAGACAGTGTATCGGAATGAGATTTGCTTTGATGGAAATGAAAACAACCATCTTTTATTTTTTGAAATCATTCAACATTCTCACGCAAAGCTCCAAAGTACTCATAGCAATTGAAAACATGGTGTTATAAGTTTGTTTCAGATTTGCATATCTGTGAGAGACACTGGCACAGTTTGGCCGGATGAAATACCAATTGCTTTGAAGAAGAAGTTGAAAAATGATGTATGAGAAAAGATTTCGGATGCACATGAGATGTTCTACAATCATTCCTTTCAAAGATTTGGAAAGATTCATGTCTCTCGGGACTACGACTGGCTCGATGTCTCAAATTTATTCTTCTTAAACATAAGAATTCTTATTCTGTATTAATATAAAATGCTCTGGTTTTATATTGTTTATGTTACCAAATTATATGTTGTTAGTGCTTTGCATCCTGTAATTCATAATGAAAACGAAATAAACGAGGTGCGTCATTGCGATTTGTTTTTAGACAAACAGTATTGACTTAAGTATCTTGTTTTGTTATTTCATAGATGTTCACAACTGCTGAAGGGATTCGGAAAAAAGTTCATTTTGGATATACAATGCCGACATCTACTGCTGAACCAATCTCAACTACAGAGAAGGTTTGTATGGACCAATCTAACGTAAGTAAGATACTTATTAATCAAATTAATTTTTCTTTAAGATGTGCTGTTTTTGGGCAATAACTGGAGAGTGTGATAAGAATATGTTTTGGATGAGACTGCATTGTCCTGTAACTTGTGGAACGTGTTCATGCAAAGGTGCTTATCAGTTTTCTCATTTTCACAAAACGAATTTACAGGTCCACACACTGATCAGTGTGAATCCATTGGAGTCAAGTGTGCAACTCCTGAGCCAACCACTACACCTACCACAACTGTACCTCCAACGACAACATCTTCAATGATTCCAACGACTTCCTCGACTACAGCTTCACCAGTCGTATGTGCCATTGAAGTCAACTATGATCAATATTCTTAATGTTCTCAGACCAAGATAAAAAAGAACCGGCCCTATACTCCTCCACCAAATGGTTTTGCAAGAACTCGGAAAATGCCAATACGTCCGACTATTGCTAGTATATCAAATGGAACAATTGAAACTTACAAAAGTCGAACAGTCATGACAAGCACGGCGAGAACTACCACACTTTCAACAACAGCTCGGTCAACTCAGTCTTCAACAGTAACAGTTACCGAATCACCTTACGCTTGCAAGGACTTCGACCAATTTTGTAGCTTCTGGGTAAAATATGGGGAATGTCAAAAGTTCGTTAATGTCATAGCTTGGTGGTACTTTTCATTTTTCAGGAATAATCATTGGATGACCACTAACTGCCAACTTTCATGTGGAACCTGTTCCAACGTACTTGAGAAACGAAGAATGCCCGTAAATATAAAAGGTTAGTTGTCTTACTCCGAGATCAGTTGTTAAGTATCACACTTTTACATCTTCAGGTTGTTCGAACATTCATCCTAGTTGTGACTATTGGTCCTCTCAAGGAGAATGCAACAAGAATGTTAACTGGATGTCAAAGAATTGTCCTAAAAGCTGCCGTTTCTGTGTACCTGTTACTCTTAGAACTTCATAACTTGTATTCAGAAACAGAAAATGAAAATATTTATAATTCGAAAAAAAACAAATGATTATGAAAAGAAAATTCCCGTTAAAATGAGAATCATGTCGTGGCTAGAATTGCTTAACTCGTGGAATGTTTAACTTGAGAGAACTCGTCTGTGATGAGCTGACTTTATACTTCTATGACGTGTTAATGATATCACTTGATATGGAAGTGCATCTAGGATCGGTCGAATCAGTCTAAGGACCTTTCAAGAAATCAGTTGATGTTGGCATCTTGTTGTTCACCATTGGTAAGATTTGTCGTTGTTTCATCAGAAGCATTCGATCCTTCGAGTTTATGACTTCTGTTGTCGAGGTCGTTTTGATCAACATCACATAATTTTCTTTTCAGATCTTTCTTAACCTGCATATTGTGATCCATATGGTCATCAACATTCGAAGGATCATCGCCGATTTCAGATCTTCCACTTTTGTTTATTTTCTGTACTTCAGCTTCAAGTTCTGTGCGAAGAGTTCTTCTTTTCAAGTCTTTTCTAGCTTTTTTTTCCTGTTGAGCTTGATATAACGCTTTTTCCAAAGAGTTATTCTGATCCTGCATGGCTTCAATGTCAAGAGAAAGTTCATTCGGCTTATTTGAGTTGCGGAGCTCCAGGCACTGAAAACAAAAATATTGATCATCACCTGAAACAAAACATACCCTGCTTTTGACTCTCTCAAGCTCTCTTTCAAGTTCACCGTTGGCTTTCACAGTATCGATAGACTCCACGCAGGCCAAATTAATTCTTGCAAACAGACGATAGCTGTCTTCACCTTTTATAACATCAGCATACTAGAAAAAAGTTATATCTGTTAGCTTTGAATAAACGAAACCTTAAACAGCTCCTCTTCAATGATATTAAAAGATCGTACGAGAGACTCTGACAGCCATACCAACTCTTTCTTGGTAACATCGATGTCCGTTTGGATCTATAATGAGAAGTTTATTTACGAAACTTATAAGATTCCCACTCTGTTGAGAGCCTCACGCTGCTTTCCGTATTTTTCTCGAACTTCATCCAATTGAGCGAACAAATCCTCTCGTGTTGTACAACTTTCAGGGACATCTCGAACAATTTTCTTCTGAACATTTTGAAATTATTGAAAACAATAAATAAAGAACGAACAATCATAGGCAGAGCGTCTTCTCTGATGCTTGCCATGTCAGTCATATCACGCAGCTGTTTTTCAATTTTTGCAATATCGTCAAGGAAAGGCCTTTTTAGAAGCTGAATTGAAATTTAATTAGATTAAATGAAAAAAAGAAACTCACGTAAGATTCTCGTCGTTTCAAGCTATTTATTTGCGAAAGTGTTGAACCAAGAGTTGTTGTCCAATGCTTTTTCACATCAATTTCATGAACCCAAAAATCGCATAAAATACTCTGCAAATTTAGTTTCGTCTCGATTTTTCTTTTCAAAATTCATACATGGATTCTTTTCTCAACATCGTCATCGCCTTTGAATGTTTGAATCAGATCGTCGTTCTGTTCTTTGTATTTCTTGAGGCTACCGATTTCGGCAAAAAGACAATTTCTGTTGTATTGCGCGCGCTGAAATAAACTACTAATTTAGATATTTGAAGAGATAGCAAACTTTCAATGCATCTTTCTTGTCCTCAAGTTCTTTTTGTAGGAATTGAATATGATCAGTGTGATCAGTCGGATCATATCTTCCTACTTTAACCATCTCAGCAACAACCTTATCAACTTCTTCTTCAAACTTCTTATCTTGGTCAACTGTTTTCTTCTTTTCATTCGCTGATTCCTCTTTATCATTATCCTCGGCTTGTTCATTGTTGATAGAATTGAACCATGGTACGCGCAACCTGTTCAAACACCAATCATTATCAAATGAAATAATGCAACTTACGAGTTTTCATTTCCGAATGGCCCATTCAGAATATTAATGATCTCCTCTCGACCACTAGGAAAGTGAGGCCCGCATTTGGGGCATCGCATTGAAACTTTCTCCGGTACCTGATGAGGGGAAATATGAGAGATTTTAAAAATAAAGTTACTTCATTTCGCAGGTGAGTGAGATCTCGGCGGATGTATCTCGATTTCATGGCATCCTCGCTATCAACAATATTCTCTCTCATATAAAGAGCAATGTGAAGGACTGGAAAAGGATTTTACTATGTTTCAATTTTCATTTTTCACCTTCGAACAATGGTACATTGATACACCTTGTTGGAAGCTTCTCTACAAATGCTAAACAGAGATTTTTGATTTCAGGTATTCTGCCATGGAGAAGCACATGATAATCAGTTTCGATGTTAACTTTCTAAAACAGGCATTGGAACACTACGAATGGAAAAAACCTTCAGCAGATCAGCGATTCGGTTAACAACTTCTACTTTGTCTCCAACATCATCGGGTAGAACATGATTCGGAATAATATTTTTATTAAACTCATCCGTTTTCCACAAGAATCTGAAATCAAAGTTCAGCCAAGAGTAGCTCAAAAGAGAAAACCTTGTTGCTATTTCAATCACATCCTTTCCGTCCAACTCTTCTACTTTCCGGAAACGGGAGGTGAAAGAGCTGAAAAAAAAATTTCATTTCAGCATACATTGGAGAACGAACCATTCAAGAACTGTGCACAGCTCTTTGACTATCCGGTCAATTTCGTTTTGATTGGAAGGATTCATACTACCCAGGAGAATGACTAATTTTCTGCCAAAACAACAAGAATCAATAAATATAAGAAGAATTGAAATTAAAAATTTGATAACGACAACAAGTTATTCATGAATGCTCCTGTAAAAGAAAAAGAAGCAATTCATTCAGTTTTTTGAAAAATGAAATGTAATTTCATGAATCATTCACATTTCGCAACAATCTACTCGGGAAGTGTTTTTAATCAAAAAAATGATCAAAAATAGAGTATGGGAAATTGGCCGAAAATGTGTACGCAATGTGGGAAATTACACGACGACTGAGAGTTGAATTTAAACTGTTGCGATTGGAGCGAGAAAACGAATTTTGCAACGAATGACGAACACAAAAAACTATTTTTTGAAATGAAAAATTTTTTTCCCGAATATTTAGGAAATGAGAAGGATATGAGTATGTGGTCATACGTTCGAAAGAATAAATTGGCTGAAATTCATGAAAATATTTATATATTTAGCTTTCTAATTGTTTTCAATCTTCACTTCTCGTTTACGTTGCTAAGGAACACAATCTTTATTCCATATTTATTGCTTGAAATGAGAGAAATTCTTTGTTTTTATTTTTTCAAAGCATCATTAGGCAATAGCCATTTCAATGTCAGTTGATCCCTCATGACCGGGGCCTAAAACCATCCAGATCACATGCCTCACATAACTCCATAAACGTAAAACTGTTGGACAACAGAATAATTCAGTGATGAGAACAACAACAGGGCATACAGAAATACAAATTATAAGTAATATACAATCTATAATAGTTAGATCACACAGAGTATTCATATTAAAGACTTACAATATAGTGCGACAACACCTAAATCATAGGCTATCCCAAAGAGTTCACCAATACTTGGTTGCATATCTTCACCTAGAGTGGTATTGAAGTTAGGAATCAGCATTCAAATATCACAATCTATAACTTATAACATAATGACATATAATTATAGATAGACAATAAGTATCTGAAATGATTAACACAAAGTCATTTTTGAAAATCGAATAGAAAAGAAGTTGTTAGAAAAAATTTGAACAAATAATGTATTCATTCTTACAACTAGAATTGTAATTAGCTTGATTTGATGTTCATCATAGCATGAGCATTATCAATAATGTCAATTTGTAACTGAACATTACTCTTGTTTCCAATAATTGTCTTCATCCATTGCATAAAATGAAATAGATAGATAACCAAAAATATTATATTTTTCCAATTCTCATATAGATATTAAGTATAAACCATATATTACAAACATTATCATTTTCTATTTGTAATTAGAGTAAATCATCAAACTTTCTTTTTTTTTTTTGAATTTCTTCATGCCTCATCGAATTCATAGGTAGAGTCTTTCAATTCGATAAAGCTAAATGCTCAGATACAGAAAGCTATATCTCTTCATTGATTCGAAACAAAATGAAATTTCATGAATGAACATAACTGCTAAAGATATATGTTGTCAGAAAATGAGACCGGAAACACTGATGTTAGTTGTAAGAGATTTCAAAAGTAATATAGCTTATTATCATTTTTGTGAATAGATTGAGACAAAGAAATCGATTACTCACCTGACATCAATAACTTCACACTGAATTTCAATGTAATTCTGCGTGAAAGTTAGTGTGAGGTGTAAAGGTTGTTTCCAATAGAATACCAACAAGACTCTTCTGAACTATATAGTTTTGACATAGATGCTGCAATCATTTAGAAGTTCAGACTGTTGTTTTCTCGATACCTTACTTCTTCCGTGTTATTCCAATCTATATTCATCATTTTGAATTTCAGTCAATCAGGCAGTAGATTGAGCTTATAAAGCTCATCATGTGATGATTCCTGCTCTACCAAATCTGTACATAATGAGTGAGTTATACTTTAAGATGAAAACCTTCCTCTCAAGAGAAGATTGGCGGATTAGAAACTACAACAGTGTATCTTCGTTCATTATGAAATTCCTATTCATACTGTAGAAAATAAAGTACTTTTCAATACTCATATGTTTGCTTCACGAAAAGTTAAAACCAATTATGAACTTTCTTACATCGAAGTTCGAAAATGATGAAAAAGTGATCTGAAATCTCTCATTTGTTGGGAATTCATTGAAACGTTTAATACCTTTTTCTATCCCTTCTCATGTTTCAGATTGAAACAGACATCTTGGAGGTAGAAAATGTTTTCGGAACTGTTCACTAGCTATCAATCAAATCTCAAAACAACACTATGTTTTTAACATAAATATAACATCTCTCTCTTCAGATAGTTATGAGATTCGTGATCCATTAATGCAACCATCTTAAGCTATATCCGTATTATATCTGAAATTGAACTTTTCGAAAGTTTCCGTTTCGTATCCAATCACTTTTTGATAACTAACAACGGAAGTGTTTTGGAAGAAACGAAAACGAAGAAGCTGGCAAGGCTATATTGCAGTGACTGACTCGACAACAAGCTGAAAACAAAATTAGTTCCTGACAAGTTACAAAGTTATCGCAATGGTTATCCTCTTCAATTAATTTCTTATCCCTATTTCCATCATTCTTTCTATAGATATCTTCAACCAATTCAGCATACTCCAATGAAATAATAGTGAGAAAGTGTTCGGCAAAGCTTGTGTGAATCGTCTCAACTTAACTTCTGAATTCATTTACAGCTGTTCCAAAAACTATTTCTCAATTTCTTATTATACTTAAGTATTATTCTGTTAAAGCTCTTACACTGATCTATGTATCATTCGAATACCCGTGAGAATCGTTCTATCCTTAGAGTAGCTGAAAGTATATTTTTAAAAAAATGTTGTTCTTTTCCATATTCCTCATAAGTCATCTGATTTCATGTAGGAACAATTATCTCCTAATGAATTCGGTCATTTACTCACTCATCCACATCACATTTGCATGCATATAGCTCAAGTCACTTGTGAATGTGAAGAAAATTGTGATTCCGGAATCACAGCTTCTTCCGTTATGTAACGATGTAATGAGTTTTGATGTCATTCCATTAACTGGCGAATATGCGGCATAAAGTGTGCTTCTTCTATTTCCTTTTCTTAATGTGAATAAATGGAACATTTGTATAACATAGTAAAAACATAACAATATCCTCAATAACACCTTTTTTTCTCTTCTCATTTATATTTTCCTAAAAACGAGTGTAATCTATCTGCTTTTTCTTAGATTTCAACTTATGCTGCCTTCACAATTCATAACCGATCTCAACAATAGCACGCTTCAGCAGTCTGTAGCTGTTCCTTTCTTGAGCAACATTGCTCTTCCCAGTTTTCTTGATATGTGCTTGGTAAAAGATGAATGAAATAACAAAAAATTTTTAACATTTTGTTTTTAAGAATCTTCAGAATATTTTGTCTCATTCACATAATGCTCTGAATAGCAACCAGCCCATAACTAATTCAATGAGTGAAGCAATAAAGTTGAATGCGCAAGGACATTATGCATTTTCATTTTTTTATCTTTTAAGGTTCAGAAGTAAAACTCTTTCCTATAAACGTAGTTATAGCCCGGAAAGTCTCGAAAGAGCAGTTAGAGATGTGCGAAGTGGTCGGTTGGGTACTCGAAGGTAAAATTGTTCCAAATACCATTAATAAGTAAACTCATCAGAGCATCTCTGGTTTATGGTATACCAAGATCTACTTTGCGTAATAAGGTCTACCGAATGGATTGTAATGAAGGTTTAGTCAAGCCGAAATCATCTAATTTGAATAAGTACTTGATGGAGGCTGGAACTGAGTAAGCTCTAGTATTTTAAATTTCCTAATCTGTCTTGTACTCAAAGTAATCCTAAAAGCGATGATAGTAGAGATACTACAATCTATAACAGCAACGAATTGAAAACATTGGATGATGAAAAAGCTATCGCCGCAAAAACCATTTGTGATGCAGAAACAACGACTAACACTTCAGAAAACAGTCTCTGGCCCACGTTCTTTAAAGATGAGGTTGCTAATGTTTAAACTACATCATGAACAAAGTTTGTTTAAAGAAAACGCTCATGACGCCGGATTTCATGACACTGTTCGAAGAACTATCTAGACCCTCTCACTCTATTGCATCCTTGTTTCAAGGAACATCAAAGAATATCAACAAAACTGATGATTCAAACTGTTGGAAGAAAGCGAGACCCAAACGGGGACACTATAGGTAAATTAATTAATCAGAAAATAAGAATGAAATTTGGTTATAGAAAATATGATAAAGCAGCATTAGATAAAGCAGTCAATTCAGTGCGTCTTGGAGAGATGAGTGTGCATAAAGCTGGTTCAGTGTACGGAGTTCCTCATTCAACTCTAGAGTATAAGGCAAAGCTCGTTTGTTAGTTCATTCTCAATTACACAATATTTAGGTCAAAGAACGAAATTTGCTGAAGAAAAAGAAAACGGAAGAAAATTTAACTAAATAAGTTCGGAAAGTTTGTGATCAATGTGTGTTGTAATCGATAAAGTATATCCAATAGTTATAAAGATTACTAAGGTTAAGAGTGTTACGATTACCTCATAACTGATGAAAGATGACAATGGAAAGGACTAGTATGATTCCAATGTAAGCACTCAGAGCTTTTACCACCACAAGAAAACTCGATTTTGTCAATGTTATATCATTCTTGAGAGTTAATGACTGTATAAAGCTTGTTACTTCACCGCATTTCATTTTCGTTCTCAGGAAGTTCAAGATACATGAACAGAGTAGATGATCCGTAGTGTAGAAAAGGAAAGCTATTGTCTACGAACGTATATATTTCATGAGATTCTCGATTGGAAACACTTAACCGATTTGTTTGAATTTCATCTCAGATCGTTATTTAATTGCCCTCTGAGGTTCAAACAGTCCCTGGAGAACATAAAGTTCTCGCATTTCATCTTATCGGTTTCTTTATGTCTCTATGTGTCTAACACATTGACCCATATATGGGAAGAATTTTGCGCAGCTGTCGGCATGAGCGATGTCTTGGATTGAAGGTAGCCTATTTATTTCTGTTTCTCCGCAGACATCATTCTCGCGATGAACATGATTGTCTCTAGTCTTCTACGATTTACTTTTATTCAACTACTTGAAAAAATTTTTGAAGACTTTCCAAAAAAATATTCAATTCTTACTTGAACTCATCTTATTTGAAAATAAATTCGAGAAAAAAAAACTTAGCGTGCCTAATGTTTCAGATATGAGGGCAGCATTACTGTGTCTCACGTTTGCTGTGGCATATGCTGTAGATATGCCTTTTTTCTTTGATGCAACAAGAGCTCCTGAGATCTTTCGAGATCAATTGGGTATGAGAGAGGCGATGGATGTTTGGGGACAGATGATTCGCAAGATGACTAATGGAGAGAAACCGTAAGATAATTGTTGTTACGTATCGAGATGATATTTTTTCAGAGATAATGTAAGACAGCAAGTTCTGCGCCCCAAAAAGGTTGATAAGTCTGTTTTGAAGACATTACCAAAAGCTCGCGGAGAGATAATTAATGAGAGATTATTGAATATGCTGTTACCTAGGTATTTTTGATCATGTTCCTGAGTAAGAAAGTTAACATTATAAGAGTACGACAAGAGACCATCGATCCTGTAAGAGATAACCTCCTTTCAAGTTCTCCCCCTACTTCTACAAGCAAGCCGTCAACAATACTAACCACTCTTGAATCGACGACAACAACGGAAACTCCAACCACTGTGAAGGAAACAACAACAATCGAAGCTGTTACAACAACATCTGCAGCCCCTGCAACAACCACTACATCCCCTTTCACCGCAAAGGAAACGACTGTTATAAGGCTCACGTCGATCGATCATACTCCAGAGCATGCAGATGAGGTAACTATCTGCGCAAAACTTATACTGATTGAATATGTAGGATAAGAAGCCAGTTTCCAAAAAAGATCAGAAGGATACCAAAGAGAATGTTCAGAAAAAAACGGTAGCCTTGTTTTACAGGTGTTATCGAATATTATTGTTCAGGAGACTATTATAAAGGATCCAAAGCTGTCTGTTCGAATCCATACTGCCAATGAAACTCAAGCAGACACTATGGACTCAGCTGTAATGTCCATTCTGATGGAAAAAATTGATGACAGAAAAGCTGTTAGATGGAAATCAGTAATTTTTTTGATTTGAATTTTTCCAGAGCCCGAAAAATAGAACAGAAACCAAAACACATCAAAAAACAACAAGTTTAGTACCAGAATACACAGAGGAGATTCGCTCCAGAAATGTATTAAAAGAAAAAAACCTCGAAAGTGAAGAGTTATTCAAGGTATTCTATCAAAAAACATTGTTCAATAAAAGTTTTCTATCTTAAGGATCATGAAGCTAATTCTTTGCTGTTGCATGGTTCGGAGTTGTTAGATACGGCAAATTCTAGTACTATTGCTGATATTAAGCAACTGATTGAAAAAATTGAGCAGGAAGTCACGAATAGCACAGAAACTGATAAGGTACTAACTCTTTCAGATTTAGTTTGCAAAAACTGTTTAGGTTAAGTCATCCGAAAAAGTTTCATCAACAACTACTGCTAGCGTCACTGAGTCTACAGAAACTGAGAAAGTTACTACCTCAGAGAAAAAGAAAACCCAAGAGAAAATGGATGATGAAAAAAAATCCAAAACTAGCCAGAATAAATCAGCAGAGCAAACTGCTGCTCTTGATGATGAGAAAACTACCGCCTCATCTCTAAAAACGACTGAAGAAGCCAAAAATAACTCTACAGAGAAGAAAAAGGAATCTGAAAAGGAAACAGAAGAAAAAGAAAGCGATGAGGATGAGGATGAAATTGAGGAACAAGATGATGAAGATGAATCACAAGAAGTATCAGAAGAAGCAGAAGAGGAAGAAGGCGACGAATTACAGAATGATGAAGAAGAAGTGAAAGTTCAAGACTCTATAAAGGAGGATGATGATCAAAAAGAGGACAAACTGGCCGAAAACAATGAGAAGAAAAGCACTTCTTTGAAGCAAAAGTGAGTTGTTAATACTTCGAGCTTTGACAAAAATTTTAGTCGCATACCTGAAGCAGAAGATGAATCAGAAGACTCGCCAGCTTTCATTCAGAGCGACGATGTGAACGAACTTTCGGACACAACCACACGACGAAGTGTTGATGGGGACGTTTCTTCGGCAGGAACTGTCTTTAATATTGAAGTGAAGCAATCTGAAATAAAAAAATGACCTAAGTATTCTAGGCAAACGCAAACTCTGACTCTAAGCCCGTACAGACGAGTGTCATTACTCCTATCACAGGCATCCTTGACACAATACGTCCTCTTATGTACTATTTCACGCGGCCAATGCAAGTAAGTAATTTACTCAATACTTGGGATTCCCTAAGTGAAAGACAGTTTTACGTTGTCAAATCAATAACTTTGAAGGCTGCTGGAGTTAAAAGTTTCGACCCTGAAAATGATCCTAATTACTATGGTTATCAAAAAGTTGATTCACCACAGCAGTTAACTTTATCCGATTTAACCGCTAATATTGCAAAGCGACTTCTCAGTAGCGGATCTAACAAGCCAGACAAATCTCGATGGAACCCATCTAGTATACAAGATGTAAACTTTTGTTGATTGTTGCTTGATACTTATGATATTTTCAGCTCCAAAAAAATATTTTACAAAACTATGGAGGAAGTTCAAACCCAGAAAACCAGTTGATTCCATTAGAAAAAATTGTGAAGCCTTCCACAGATGCACCAACAGAGCCACGTGCGTTATTGACCGCTGAGCCGAAAGTAGAAAATTTTTTTCAGAAGTTCTCACTGTTGAAGGTTCTTCACAGAAAGAAGAAACAGAATATTACGCACCTGTACTTCCCAAAGAAAGAAACACTCTGCCTATTATTGCTCGGCCAAGTTATACCAACTTTAAGAAAACCAAATCCACTAAAAAAATCATAACAACAACAACAACTACTGAACGAACAACAACAGCTGAAGCTTCTGAAGAAGGTGAACAGGTTGAAGAGTTTGATGATGGATCAGCTTCATCTGTTGAAACAAACTTTTTAGGAGATTCAGGTGAGACAGGATTACGGCAAAAGTTTGTAAGGTTATGTTTTAGGAGTTTTACTGGGAAGTGTGAACATGCCAGAGCCGGAGATAAAAGAAGCTATTCCATTTGCTCTCAACCCCGTGACTGATGAAGAGCCATTCCCAGCTACTTACAAAACTTTCGGAGGAGGATCATTTGGAGGTATATCTGAATCACATTAAGCAAACCAGTTCTTTAATACAGGAGGAAGAAGACCATCCATTCCATTGACCGATGACAGTGGCTCATCCTCATCCTCAGATATACTCTCATTTTTCGACTCGAAGCAGCGATAGCCTTTTAATTCATTGAAAACTAATAATAACTATAATAATAAATGTTAGATGTCTAGACAATAACGGAAAAAATTTATTCATTCCTAAGCTCATGAAAAAAAACTGATGTGTGATCAAAACTATTCACAACCTAAAATGGAATATAACTCTTGAATCCTGTGACTACAGTCCCTTGTTGCAATAAACAATCTTGGGGTTATTAGGAGTACTACGAATTGTCTCTTGAAGTTCAGGTTCCAAGTCCTCAACATTGATTGGAGTCATCTATTAAGTGTTCATGAAGATATCTTTCAAAACAAGAAAAAAAACCTGTGGGTAGAGAGCACAGCCTAAAGGAGTTGAGAACAACAGAATAACTCCGCAAAGAGCAGCTTGAAGAGGACCAAGAAGCCTTGGATTAGCTTTCCAGAATGGTTTATTCTCAATTTGATTCACGATGATAGGAATCAATGCTGAAAAACACAGTTAAAATTGAAGAAAAACATGTTTGCATACCAAATGTTGGGAAAGCCATTCCAATTCTCGACACGATGACTTGAGTAATGGCTGACTTAGCTATTTTGCGCGATTGCCCAAGTTTGTTTCCTTCAGCATCAACAATGTCGATTCCGTCTTTAAGCTCGCTAAAGCAGAAAAAGTAATTCAATTAATTTTAATGAGCGTACCCTCTTCTCATCATTGGGATATTGATTCCGTTGGCGACACAAACAGCAACAAACGGAACGAGACGTCCAACAACTGGCGGAGCAGACTGAAACAAAAAAATATTACATAAAAAAAAGTGCAAAATTACCTTGACAACAGCATTGAGTCCAAGCGCAGCGGTCAAAGCACCTCCAGTAGCTGCGCAATACGATGTAAGTAGCTGCGAAAAAAATTATAAGAAAAACTTAACTTGCAATACCTGAGTTGTAGATCCACCTGATCCAGATCTGTTGCTATAGTTTACAACTGCGTTGAAGGACTGATTGAACCAATGCCAGAAAATCACAGCAGAAGGAGACCTAAAGAAATTTATTAAAAAATGAATGTTTTCGAACAAATACTTGTAGAAGGTGAGCATTCCTCCAGTAATAACCATATTCATGGGAACCTGAGCTGACATGCGACCAATGATGAACGTCTGCTCTCCAGTTGATGGATGAAAAGCGGAATCAACGATATGCTTAGCTTTCCATAATTGATCCAATGTCAAATCTTTTGAAATCTCTCCTTTCCTGAAAATCAAAAACGTATAAATTATTGAGAAATTAGAATAGCATACTTGTAGTTTTGGACAACGCCATTAAAGGCATCCAGCTGAGATTCAGAGTAGAACAAGTTGAGCGGGCTGGTTATGGCAAAAAAATGCTAAAATAGTATATGTTCTAAATGAAAATAAAAGAAAAAATATATACCTTAGCACGTCCGGCAAAAGTGCTCTGGTCAAAGCGAGGCTTAGTGATATCTGGTTTGACGACAAGATTGTAAACAAGATCCGACATTATTCCTGAAATAAAGACACATTACACAAATTGAAAAAAAAAGAAAAATCCGAAAAGAAAAAAAGAACATTTATAGATATGATAGATTATAAAACACGTGATATCATTAGAACGAACATGTCAACGAGAGGAGCTTAAGCAGCTCTGCGTCTCAGCGGCAATCGATGACATCTGTATGTCATTTGCTAAGTGCTAACGTGCTTTCAGCTTTACACTGAGCAAAAAGCGAGAAACTTGAGAAGAGATGAAAAGAAAAATATATGAAACAGCAATGAACAGAAAGTAAAAAATAAAATAATAAATCAACATGAGACATATACGAAATTAATGTAATAGAGAAATTTTAAATTAATACACAAAGTAGACGTCAACAAAGTAAATATGGCGCATCTTACGACCATGACGTACACTATACTTATCTGAGATAAAGTAAACAAATATCAATCAATTATAATAATTATCGATTGAAAATGTATATATATGTTTGATATTTTATATATTTTACTAAAACACTATCAACATTATTGATAAATATAATGACCCATATCTTTTAATGATAAAGTTTAATGCTATATCATGTGTTTTTTTTTGTCACTCTCATCCTATCATTCTTTCAGATGAAATACTATTCAATAGAGTATTAAAGAGAAAATGACATTTTCAAGGTCGTACGGCAATAACAGTTTACATTTCGCTATCTTTATAAGTGGTTATTGTCTCGTTGAGTAAGTTAATGTTTTCCGGATTTTTGAATAATTTTAAGATAGTTCGGACATTCTGATCCCTCGATTATCTAGATGAGGGCAATTAACCTATTCGTTTTACATACCAGCAAACGATCAAATCTATCGTTTCGAAAGTGATTTTAAGAAATGAATGTGGCTGAACGAGTTTCTACGCTTACAATCGTTGTTCTAATCTCGTGAATTCATCTATGACCCTCTACAAAAACTGCGTGATAAAGATGAAACTTTAATGATTTTCTGGAATTAATCTAAAGAAATAGGACGAATTTCGGCGCCTTGCACTCATCCGTTAGTGTAAAGTAGATTATGAAACAACTTTTGACATACATTATTTTTTGTCATTGACAGAACCATCTTTTTTAGACAAATCTTCCTTTTTCTTCTTCTACCTCACAGAGATGGTACTAAACGTAAAGAGATATTCAAGGATAAAACTTTTATTGCATAACGGATGAATGAAAAACTATAAAGTTAACTGTATTGCACTTTTCAATATTAATAGATATGAACTCTTTTCTCAATATGGCCAATTCGAGCAACTATCAAAAGTATCAACATAATGGGTTGGCTGTTTCAAGTGAGCTTCCTTCTTCAATTATAGCTATATCATCAACGGCACATGCTCCTTGGTTAGTACGAACATTCTCGCATAAGAACAAAATCTGAAGGGAATGTTAGAATGAAAGATGAAGAGATAGTACAAACCTTATCAGTTCCTACTGGGCATTTGAAACTTGTAGTCTTCCACACACGATCTAAGACTGAAACAAACTTATCCGAGCTGAATGGACAAGAATCATGAGTTCCACAACAAGCTGTAAAAGATAATATTATATCTTTTTTTTCTGTTGATCACCTTTCAATTGAACTCCATGAGTTCCTTCATAATATCTGAAACGGATTCGAGTGTTCTCCTTAAGTGGTTCGATTGTTGTGGCCAATCCAGCTACTTCACGAGGGAACAAGAAACTGGCAGCGTAGAAATCGCCTTCTGAATATTCATATTAAATGATAAATAGTTGGTAATCATGTGATAACCGCTGCTTTCTTTCACTCCTGTTACTCTGTTCATGAAGTGTCCTCTGGCTACTTGGAATCTAGATGTAAGTACTTTTGAGTTTTGGGTATGTTGGGCATCCTTATAGTTGCAAAGGGATCCTGTTTGAATCGAAAATGGTTCAAGCTACCAAGAGTTCATCCTACCTGATTCGAAATCGCACTTGACACGAACACAGGCGTTCTCATTGAAAGTCTTGGTACGAGTTCCAAGAGCAACTGTTTGATTTTGAGTACGGCTTGGTCTGAATAACTGTTCATTATTTGACTATTCGAAAAAAACTTTACGTTTTGAGACTTTGAAGTACTTCGATCTCACCGTTCTCCGAAGTTTGTGCTTTGAATTGTTTCTCGCGCCCCTTGAAACGTAATATGTTTGAGTTATTTTATCAATTTCAGAATATAACCTGCTCGATCTTAATAGTTTGATGTTTGCTGGCTTCGAAAGATTGCTTGTGGGATGCACCGTGTTGGCTGTCAACAACGTTCTAAAACAATTCTCGTTAGTGATATCATTATGAAATGTGAAAGAAACCAAGTTTCTGCATTTGTCTTCGTCATACTTGTAGAAGACTTGAACATCATCAATAATGGCAATATCTCCATTTTCATCTACCAAATTGGATGCTACGAAAACGACCTAATTGTGTTTGAATTAAGTTTCTATAGAATTTTTTTTTGACCCACATCAACGAGAGAAGCTGCTGGTAAAGTGATTTCAGTAGTTGTTAACTGATTAACTGGTGGAAGCTCTTGGCAACTCAACAGAGCATTGTTTTGAACATCATTGGGGAATGATTCTCTTAAGCACACTTGCAGCAATACACTCTCTGTTTGCCAATGCTTCACGCGAACGATGATTTCAGATGATGCGCAACCAATGGAGCATGAAGCGAGTTGGGCTTCATCAGATGGGGCGGCACCATTAGCGTGAACCAATAAGTAGCTGGTGTCTGTTAAATTAATACATACTTTAAACAAATCAAAATTGCGTGATACTCGTATATGGGGCAGATGGGAATCGCGCAGCATCAATTTGACCTTTAGCAACAGTCCAATCCAATTGATCATCAGGTTGGGGAACATTAGCCCAACAACATGGCTTGTCATCGAAATCACAGCTCAAAGAACTGCCTGGAATTAATTTGGAGCTTTCATATTGTATTCTAGAAAATAGTTTTACCAGTATTGACTGGTCCACCTCCTTCAGCGTTATACCCTTCTGCCGAATACTCATGCATAGAGCCAGAGCCGGATGCGAAGATACCTTCAAAAGATCTGCTGTTACCATGGAAATATAATGTTTTTTCAACTTTTTGATGGAGGAGAAATGATAGGTTGGTTAGGAGCTCTGGCAGCTGCGGCTACTCTAGCTGGTTGAACAAACTGTTGAGAAGCTGCAGGAGGAGCTTGAGCGAACTGTTGAGTTGGAGCTCCATACTGATAAGAACGATAATCAGTACGGAAACAAGCCCATAGCGCTGTAACAAATTGAGGTAAATAAACATTGCCAATTACAGTAAATAAACTTACGTTGTATGGCAAGACAGAAAATGACAATGTTCCTCATTGTTCAGTTCCTAAAACAATGGATGTATATGAAAATTGGAGATGGGAGATGCTGAAGAAAGCAACTATTAAGGAAAGCTGAAACGTTTGTAAATGAGACGGTTGGGAAGAAGAGAGATAGAAAATCATCAATTTGAGAATATCACAAATCAGGAAAGATGAACAAGAAATGCTAGAATCTCTTTGTTGGAACAAGGCGTCCTTGCGGAACTGAAAAGGCGACTTTCTATTTCTAACTTAAAGAATACGCCGATTAAGGCGATTGACCTAGTTCATAGAAATGACATCTTGTTTCTCAAAGATTCTCATTTTCGCATGATCTTTCCAATTCTCTTTGTGTCACAATTTCTCTTTCCTCATATCTTCGTTGACCCGGTTTTCTTGTAAATGCTGATGATGAATATATTGGTCAACCAAAATATGTTATTTTCAGATATCTGGACAAAAAAAGTTTGTTACTTTTTTTTTTCTAACGGCATCTATTGTAAATGAATACCTTATAGAGGGATTAAGAGTATTGTATATATTTCTTCATGCGCATCCTTATAATTAAAGAAAAATATATGTGAGGATGGAGAAAGTGAAAGAAACTTTCACAACTCTCTCTTTCACTTAATTCTTCTACATCTTAATGCATTCTTCTTATGTAGAGATGACTCAAGATTACTATTATTATTAGTTTATTATAAATGAGACAGAAATAATGTTACTTTAATGATGGACAAAATAATCAGTTATACAGTTACGTAATTAAATCATTATCGATGAATGCGGGAATGTTTGTGATGCTTGCAATTCTTGTTTGTGTTCAATTGGAATCGTGTCATCTGAAAAGCGTGGATATGACGTATTCGGTTAATTCAGTTTTGAATACTTTTTCCTCATTCTGAAGATTCCATTCGACCAGACTCATCTTTGAATCGTAAACCAATTTAGTGCTATCGATATCACGTGAACTCATGCCTTAATTTGAATGTGTGACCAGTTGAAACAAATGAAATTCAAACCCAGAACAAGATAATGTTTTCCAACTCGAATTTTCGGACATTTACAAGCTTGGAAGCTGGTTGGTAGCCATAAAGATGATAGATTTCGGGTATCATTTGTTGACTTGAAATTATTCTCAACAAGAATCGAATACTTAATCCAGTTATGTTCATTCTCCTTATTCATTATCATCACTTTGAGAACTGAAAGGAGGATAAACATAAGAATGTTGTTTGATAAGATTATATATACCAGAATCTCTAGTACAGAATTTCCTTTGAGTAACTTTCTTGAATTCACGACATTTTTCGCAAATGCCTACAATGCTAGTCATTTCTAAGCTGGGAGAATGGTTCTTACCGCGAGGTTTCTGTTGTTCATGAGATCCTACTGAAGGCAAGAGTAAAGTTGCATTTTTGTCCGGTATTCCTATAGAACGAATAGAAATCTCAAAAACATTTGTAAAACTCACTAATGCAAGGATTGACAGATGAACGACTTTGTTGATAACCTTTGGCACATCTGTTACATGTCAAGCCAGCTACTCCGTCCTTACAAACACATTGACCTGTCTCTTGATTGCAGCTGCGTCCAAGTGAACCAACTGGATGACACTGACAACCTGGCGCATCAATTCATATTCAACTCTAATTATAAATTTTTTATGCTACCTTTGCAAGCTCTACGGCTGGTAAGTGGCGAGGTTGAATCCCTATAGTAACCTGGTTTGCACAGATGGCAATTACGTCCGATAGTATTATGTTTACAGTTAATGCAAACACCACCACTTCTTTATAATAATATATTCAATGAATATCCGTATGCTATATATCTGCCAACCTGTATCCACTCATTTTGAATATTTCATTGTCAAACCGGCATCTCTTGGCATGCATATTGCAATTGCATACTGTAATGAAGCTTGATCATTTCAATTTTGTTTGAGCTATCGTAAGCATCACATCAAGTGAGCAATAATCAAAAAAGGAAATGTAGACAGCAGATGAATTCCTTTTTTCTAATTTGATTCATCAAGTTTGTCATTAAATCCTAAATGAAGTATATTCAATTTATTTTCTCGGGAAATGAAATGGCTTCACAAAACTTAATTGAATATATCTGCATTGTGCATCTCTCGGTGCCATAAAAGTATTTCTAATTTTGGCTTAAATCCTTTCACAACTTTCCCATACGACATTAACTGTTCAGATTGCTTAAATCTAATCGAAATAAGAGCTTATGTGTCAGACATTTCATCTTTAATCTTTTATATGACGGATTCAATGAGTTTTTCGCACCATAAAACAAAAAGATTACTCAAGCCGTATTAAAGGGTTCTGTATATTGCTTCACTTATGAGATCTTGAACCGCAAATAATCCCGAACAGATTGTGTGAAAGCTCTTCATACAACCCGCTCATCCATAAATTACAATATATATTGCATACGGCTCAAGTGTCGAATTAAATCATAAACTATTCTATTGCACTAAAGATATAAAAAATAATAAACATCTATTGAGATTTTGGAGCCTGAAGAGGAGATTAACTAGGTCAAAACATAAGAGCCACAAGTATCGTTATTCATGTGACATATTTTCTTTGTTTGACAATATCTATTTGTCATCATAAATCCTGTGATTGAAACGGGTTGAAGAAATTGCTCACAGCAGGTTACTCACGAAAATATATTAATACGCTCATACAACTCTCTGTCACCGTCCTTTTATAATCTAACAATCGAATAGCAGGTGCAATAAAATACTTTCAAAATACAACTTTTATTGCATTGACCGCTATTTCACTTTTAAAATTAAGTTGTTACCTGAACAGACATTGGCGTTTCTGGATGTTGCACGACCCCAGGGTTTGTCAAAATAGAATGGTTTACAGGTTTCACATTCTGTTCCGGCTGTATTATGACGACAATCACATGAGTACTCCAATTTTAATTATATTATATGAGGAAATAAAACAATTACTTACTTTTCCTTTTTTGTCGACAATGCAACGACTAGCATGTCCATTGCACTTACATCTTCCTCCAACAGCTAAATCCCCCATAGAATAGAAATTGGTCGATAAGTCATCATACTCTTCCAACAAACTGCTACTGTTATCGTTGAAAATCTTTGAATAAATTATGATTCATTTATGACTCTTTTCACTTCATTTCTTACCATATTAGGTTTGAGACGAGTAAATACTACCCGGATATCAGTAGCAGTTACCCAATCTTGCAAAACAGGAGATGCTTCGAAGTTGAGAGCAGATGGGCGATTTTCAATTAAGGGGAATGCAATCTTGTTTCCTGTTGGCGATACAGACCGGATATCAGTGCAGATAGCTTCCTAATGAAGTTGTCAAGTGATGAATACGGTATTCTCAAAATTCAAACCTGCTCATTGTGTTTGGATATAAGAGCATCGGGGAATTTGTTGTACACAGCCAAGCAATCAGATGAATAATACTGATAGGGTGTCCAGCTTTTACCATAATCAGCTGATTTGAACAAAGCAATTGAATCAGGAGTTTGATGACAGAATTGCATTGATACATAAGTCAATTCAAATTTTTTTCCCAACGAAAGTGTCAAATTAACACTTCCAATACTATCGGTAGGCTCAGACAGCCAACATGTCGTTTTTCCTTGCATATTCATATCCGTTAAAAGGCTGGCAGAATGTGATAGTGATCTATCTTGAGAATTACAAACAGAGCAAGCTTTTTCACTATCTTTGGTTGGAAAGCAATATCTAAAAAAGTTCGATCTTAGAGCGATGAGTTAGGTTTGATATATTGCTCCCAAGAGTGTGTTTCTCATTGAACATTCGGTTATATATCTGTCATCTCATACAGTTATGAATGAGAGAACCATTGTCTTATTTACCCTTGGAAGCTATTCATTAATCATGAACATAATGGAAGGCTTACGATAGGATTAGACGAGATTTGTGAGAAATTCTATTTCACTCCCTTTGGATATTGAGGAAAAATATATGAGATGAGTTAATTTAGTATGATTTCGGTAAAAGAGAGGAAAATGAGAAGATGCGATCTTATTGCATTAGCGCATCATATAATTAAATTTGTATGAAACCTTTCTCAGAACGTGCGCATAAATCATTATAAATTATAATTGTATTTCAATGAGTGTGAGGAATGAAATTTTTGATGAAGCGAGAAAGAGAAATGAATCCTTAGCATATAATTAAATATTATATAGAATATGAATACAATAATAGATATTTCAACTGATGAGCTATTTTCAAAACTTTACAATCCAGAGTGTACTTCTGGTTTTGGTCAAAAATATTTTTTTTTTTCAAATTATTTGATGTGTTCAGAATGAGAAATGAGGAAATGAAAAATTTTTTTTCTTAAATCATAACAGTCAGATGCACACGTTATGACATTCTAACAACAACATACCTCGTTTCGCCGTTCATTCCACAAGTGCTTGTGGCAACAACAGGCTTGCCAAATGCTGCATTAATGAACTCTGGTACACAACGTATAGGTCGGCCACTTTGATCATAACATGGATCATGATCAGGCTTTCGCAAAGAAAACTTAAGTAAGAAGTATAAGAATGTATATGATGAATAGATTAATACCTGCGAAAAATATGCTGCATAGCCAATGGAAAAACAATGAAATAAGAAAATTTTATATCCCATTGTTCTGAAAATGAAAGAAGTCATTGTCTTATATTGAATGTTAAACATGAAAAGGATCTGTATATGTTCAAATGTGTACATATATGGAAATGTGAAGACAAGCCGAACGATGTGTAAAAATAGAATAATGAGGGATATGCAATCCCATGTGTACTGCCGCTCGTCCACTTCACACTTTCACAGTCTTTGCTAGGCCATAGCTCCGCCCATCGCCTCTCATTGGCAAAGCCATCAGCTACTGTGTCTAGGGTTTTATGTTTGTCATTAAAGAGATTAAAATACTTTAAAACTCAAGTGTTATTGCACCATATGGAATGAAATATGTTTATTTATAATATAAAAAAATATTTTTTTCTTTCTTAAATGGGCTCATAGAAGATTCAACAACATTGATAAATAAACGGAAAGTTCTGGTACATTGAAATGACTTTAGTATGAAAGATGTGAATATGAAAATAAACAATATAACATGTAAACAGTATTATAATAAATAAATAAAAATCAAGTTAAACTTATCAATTAGTTATCCCACCACAACTCTTCTTTGGTCCGATGATATTTCTGCGTTGACGATTCATGTCTATGACAGTATGGTTTCAAATTTTGATTTATGTTCATGTATCACCTGTCTCGTCGCTGTCTTGACAAGTTTCTCTGCATGATGTGGCGATGATAAGTTGGAGTATCGTTAGACGTACTGGCGGTGTTTAAAGCTGTTCGACTACTACTGGGAAGATTTGCTCTACAAATTCAATCAATATCATTCTGCTAATAAACTACAATAATACTAACTTTTCGCTTTTATCCGGACGATACCGCCCATTTACAATCTGTAAATAACAAGTTGTTTACAAATAAATGTACCGGAAATGCTCTTACGTCATAATTTGAAAGAACATTTGAACTCTTGATAGGATCTGCAGTATGAGTAGGACGCGATCTACTTTTTCTTTTTGGTTTTTCTACATTTGTATCATTTTTTGAAGATGAATCAGCTGTTGCATTCTTTCTTCTTTCAATTATAGTACTTTGACTACTTTTGAGAAAACTTCTTCCGCTATATCTGGTGGAGAAGTAACCCTTGTTCACGGTCTCCTCTCTGGGTTGAAGCGAGTTAGCAGTTCTTGTTTCTGCTGCTCGAGTTTTTGCTGAAGTAATGTCTGCGTCATTAGCTCTATTTTTCCTGCTTGTTGAACGGCGTCTAGGTTCTACATCCTCAATCAAACTACCGATTTCCGAACTTTTCGTTGGTAAGCTACGACTTACGTGATCTACGTTCTCTGTAATCAAATGCATTAATGAAGATTTTTTATAATTCAATTGAAACCTGTTGCGTTCTTAGATTGAGGATGATTTTCAATTACGGTATAGGCTGTTGAACTATTTCCTTTTCTATTTGCACTGCTAGCAAAATTAATGAATTCTGTTTGAGAACGTTCATTAATCTCAGGCCCAACAGCTTCCGTCAGCATGTCTTGTTTGAATGACCTCGAAGGCGACGTTTCTGTACTTCGGAATGTTGCGTTGTATTTGGATGTTTTCAAAATGTTCGGAACACTTCTTGATTGGGATCGAACTCGTTTTGGTTTAAACTTGGCAAAGGGGTTCTCGAGATTGATATTGTTCTTTGACAAATCAATGAGAGCCCTCTTATCATTCGAAGTCATCAAGTTATCAGTCGACCCTTCACTCACTGTAATCGGTTCCTCCAATCGTGATTTGCTTAAATAATGAATAAAAATTGAGCAAGCTGAATGTGAATTACGATGGAGATTCTAAGACAGCTGGTTTTACTTCAGGCTCGGTTTTCTTAGGAGTCAACGGGGGCACATATCCAACCCGACATCTGAACAATAGAAATTATCTCGTTCGTCTTATAAGTGTAAACCTTCTGCGTTCTTTCGACGTTGGTCTCCTTTTAGAGAATCTCCATTTGCGAACTATTTCCGGTTTAGCTTCAATAATTGTTTGTTCAAGTGAAGAAGAGCTATGAATACGTTCTAAATTAGATTTTTCAATTAATTCTCAGATAAGTGAAGAAACCGCCTGTATGTTTGCCTTCTTTGAAAGATTCCCACATAGTTTTATCTTCACCATTTCGTTCGATAGAATTTCTTTTTGACTCTGCAGAAGGAATATTCGGTCCCGGGGTAGATATAGTGGGTTCTCTAGCAATGCTTGTAAGGACTGCAGTTTCGATCATGTTATCGATCTCAAGAGGCAGTTTGTTCGGAGGACTAATTTTTTTTGTCGGCTCTCCCTTAATAAGAAAATGCATTCGAATTCTGACGGATAATGTAGTTTTGAGACACAAACCTGCTCGTCATCAGTGATGAACACTTTTATTGAATCCTTTTTGATGTCAGTTGGTTGCTCATATTGGTCAGTTGGTATCTGAAGCTCATCTAGCATTATAGAGAGAGTGAGAGCAACACTACTTGGGTTAGAGGTTCAATTTGGTTAGTATCAAGTCTCTCACATGCATCACTAGCCACATCTTTTTTCGGTTTCACGAAAACTGTATTGGGTGCGTCGTTGAAAGATTCATTGTTTCCAGCAGGTTCAAGCTGTGTACTCGTAGGTAATGCAAATGCTACACTAGTTGAAGCTCCATCTCCCCCCTTAAGAAACTTTACTTAAGGCATGATAAAATGAATTACCCTTGATGAAGTGGCATGTTTGCGTGGAGCAACAAACTTTTTACTTTTGTTTGTCTCTGTACCATTTTCGTTACCAGTTGGAGTTTCCATAGTTTGTTGATTGTTTCCTTGTTGTTGACCGTTTTGAGTAGTGGAGTTGCTCTGTGTTCTACTTGTATACCAAAATTTGATTTTATCATAAATATCCTTTAAATCATGTTAGAAGCACAGTGTTTTTGAACTAACCGTGAACCAGTTGGCATCCATTCTTTCGATTTTCCTGCAGAAATTGTATAACCAACAACAACCGAGAGCGATAGCAAATACACCTAATACGATCAGCAACCATCCAATACTTCTGAACAAAGTACTATGTTCGACTCTTTTTCTTTTCACTTACGATATTGAACAAGCGTGCACACAACCACAAGTTCCATCCATCACCATACACTTGATGCATTTACTTGTAATAATAGATTCGAAGCCGGTACAACTCGATGCAGATATAGCTGAATAAGTTGCTGTGCAACTATTTGTATGAGAAACTTACGCTCGTTCACAATAGTGATCTCGCCTGTGGCAAATTTCTTAACAAGGTTGTCAAAATCACAAGTGTAACATAGGATTGTCACAATATTTTCATCAAAGGTATTGCGACACAACGATGCATTTTCATTTTCAAACTGAATTTTTTCTTTTTTTCAGATGAGAATGTTCAAAACTCACGTATTTCAATATCAAAGCGTCTTCTACATCTTTAGTATTAGAAACGTTGCGTCCACAAACTGTATTAATGTGTACATTAACATGCCTCATAGTACGAGGGCCTTAATACAACGTTTAACTAGCTGTCAAATTACGATATAGTACCTTCTTCTGACTCATATTTTTCTACACATATAGGAATCAATCCCTTGCTCATGTCGAGATTGTTCATTACGTTTTCATAACATCCTTCAGGAAACGGTGAGCTTAACCCGTCTGTATTGTCATCCTTTTCAGTGTTATCTGGAGTTTGACTCTCGCTCTCTGGTGTAATAGCATCTATGTGGGGTTCGATTGTGGACGAAATGATTTCTTCTTCCACAGGAACTTTCCGAGCTGGGACTTTTTGAATTTTTGAATCGACTTCTCCATGTTTTGATTCAGAAGACGATACATCGACAGTTTTGACCGGAACAACGACACCGCTGTTGGGTTCGTTATCACCACCAATGTTTAAGTGTTTAACGTTGTTCTCCACAGTTTCCTTGGTAGCAACTGATATAGTGGGTTTTCCTGCTGATTCTTCAGATTCTTTCCAATCTGGCTCCGTAACTCTAGAAACTTCTGTTGATGCAATAGAAATTTCAGGATTTGTTATTAACGTTATTGGATGTATGGTCGTCGTTGATAAGACTGTTGATGAAGATGAATGAGAGAGTGAAGTATGTACAGGTGATGAAGATAATACTGACACCGAAGGTGGTGAAGATGAAGATGATAAGGTTCCAGATGGGAGCAACGGCTTTATAACTACCACTTTGGCAGGAGTAATTGGTTTGAACAGGTGAGAGTTATCAACTGGTTTGAATAGGTGAGAGTTATCAATTGGTTTGAACGGTTCTAACACTTCATATTTGTTCTTAGAAGAGCTTCCGAACTCTAATTCGCTTTCTTCGTCGATCGGGCTAGGATGAAATTCATTCCCAAGAGGCTTTTTCGGAACTTGGCCAGGAAATACCCATACATCGATCTTGTCGTGAGTTTTTTCCATTGGCTTATTTTGTGGTCGGAATACATTCTGTTTCTCCGCACCGTTTATGGGTGTGATTGGCTTGCCGAAGAAATCAGTAATTCCTGATCCGACTATTTTCGATTCAGGAAAGAATTCAGTTTCCTGATTAACTACTTCAACCACATTGCTTAGGGGCTTTGGAGTTGTCGTAGGATAGAAAGACGATTTAGCATTTGCACTGTTTTCTATATTCAACTCCGACTGCTTTGAGTAGTATGAAGGAGTTGTCGTGTGCATATAACGACTGTATACAATACTTCCTAGAACCATCGAACTACGAGTAGTCGGTACTTTCTCCGCCGGCTGATTATAATCTAATTCGTTGTTCCCAACTTGAATAGGAACTATCATACTGTTCTTATTGTTTTCTATTGGAGTTATGAAGTTGCCAAACTCAACTACTTGATGATGAGATCCATCGCTCGGGAAGCCTTTGCTCTTGTCTGGTTGTAGATCGCTGGTTGACCCATCGGGTTGGAATATCCTATCATACCAACATCGAAACGAGCCTTCCAGCGTTTTTACATACACGGCATCTGTGAATTGTATTCAGTAATGTGTTAAATCTGCATTACTGACCTTCATCACTACTATCATAACAATCCTTTTTGCCATCCATAAGGGAGACCATGGATACTATCTGTCCATAACCCTTGCATGGGAATGGCTGAGTAATGTTACAGTTACGGCCATCTTAAAATATTTTTTGTAAGTACAATCAAGCGGGCTCATTTACACCTTCATCTTTTCGTTTGCAACTGTGGCTGTCAAGAAAATTGACACACATTGATCCACATTTAATTTGGCCAAAGAAACACCCTATAATATGAAAATGAAATATATGGCTTGTTTTCGAACAATTCACATTCATCACTTCCGTCACGACAGTCTGGTTGACCATTATGAAATGCAGTAACGGGAACGCATGAGCCGAATCCACAATCAAATTCGCCATACATGCATCGCCCTGGCAATCGTAAATGAAGGCCTTAATATATTCAATTTGTAATAATCTAAGATGATTTGTTATCAAATGATACCTGTTAACGATATATATTGAGATTGAACACCGGATGGTGCAAATAAGAATAATGAAACTAATACCAGCATAACCGAAACTTTCTGCAATAATAATAATGAAATGCACTGATGAATCTCTGATGTGTATAGTAAAAAGAGCAAGTTATATTTTATGGTGAAGTAAAGAAAGCCTAACAGAGATAATTGCTCCTTCTCCATTGAAAGGAAATGGTGGCCTTTCTGTCAATGTTCAATAGGCCGTTATGTCACCTGAACCGCAATAAATGTGGGCTCATGTACAACTATTCTCATGAATAAGTTTTTTTTTTGAAAGCTCACTTCTATTTACACCAACAGCTTCATTTACAAGATTATCTTTTTCGCACAAGATAAACTATCTTCAAAAACAATGTCTTTTGTCTTTTGTGAATAATTAATGAGTTCATAAACATCATCATTGAATAGAGCTTTCATCTAATTACCGCAAAATTTTTTAATTTGAGAGATATTCAAATTGATATTGTTCTTTCATTCATCTTCTAGTCAGCATCTCTCGTTTGACCATCATTCCATCTTGCTCATTTTCTCTAACACTCTCTCACTTTTCCACACACTCTCTCTTTTCCACCCATAGTACTTCCGATACTTTCTGATCTAAATACCCTTCTATTTATACTTTTCTTAGCTTTCAATTTTCGATTTTTTTTCCCTTCAAATCTCTTTCTATCTCTAACTTTTTCTTTTTTACGACCATCGACAAGTACTTTAGCCCTAATTCATAAGCATTTATCTTGTCACCCTCTCAGCTGTACTTGTATTACTTTCAGCTATCTAGAACTAAACTTTTCCATTCTTCATCTTAACCTTTTCACAATTTATAATTATGATAAATCTTTTTTTCATTTTTACTCCCTTTATGCTCTTAATTCGTTTTTGCACTTTACTATCTTCCATTCTCTATCATACTATCTCTCGCTCAGTCACTCTAATCCCCGTTTCCGTTGCTCGCTTGTACTATCTATCTTTTAATCTTCATCATCATACTTTTCTACTTTTCACTTGAACAAATTTGATCTAATACACTTATTCTAAAGCTCTGACACTTTCCAAGGAATTTATAAGTTTTCAGTCTCATTCTTTTCGTATTTTTCGTTTTCACTCATTTCGAATCAATACTTTTAGCTTATCGATGCAAACTTACAGTTTCAATCCACAATGAACGAGTTGGTCGTCCCATGATCTGAGATATGCTCTGAAATAGGCTAATTATTCTCTTCTCTTTGAATACTTATAAGATAGCATTGAGAAATAAACATTTGTTTGAATTGATTCTTTCTTCTATCTCACAGTCTCACACTTGTCTAAAGATGAAAAAGAGATCCGAAAGTGTATGCTTCGATAAAGCATTCTCTTGAATACTCTCTTACACAAGATTGGAAAGGCCTTAATAGAAGAACTTTTCTACTCGTTGCTCTCATGTATTTACAATAGAGTCGGCTGGTGGGAAATCATATATGTTGTTGGTGGATATCATTCATACTGTGTACAAAGAATATCTTTATCTGGAAGAATAGATGGTCTGAATAGAATGAAAAGAACATCCATGACTGCTCTCCAGGATATACGAATGATTAATCTTCAATCTTACGCTATCTCCTAGGCGACTCCGCCTTTAATTGTCAATTAACAGCACAAATATGAAATGATAGCTTCATGACATTTGTGGATTATTCCAATTAGAACGGATTAAGACCAGCAAACGTATATAATGTTGATATTTGAAACGGCCGAGTACCCAAAATTTATAAATAATGAGCAATTAAATGCTAAACGTCAGCAGACCCTGTGATCCAGCATCATATTTCTGATATAATACTGGAAGCAATGGAATAACAACAAGATTTGGTATATGTGATCTCAAGTAGTTAATGAATCCAAGAATGATGATATGATTGACGTAAAAGATAAACACAATCACTTGTTGTTGAAATTTTTAAAATTTCATTGGTTTACAACATAAGTGAATCGTAGCGTAAAGGGTCTTTCAGCTTCCACATATGCACAATCTATGATGAGAGATATCAGAATGATAATCAATGAGGAAAGATGTGTTTTGGTCTATTTAAAGATTTCAAACGATGATCTTTAATAATTAGAATTATCCTCATCAATGGAAACTCTTTGTTTTCAAATTATAATATAATTTTTCTTTTGTTCAAGTTAATATGTGTTCAGATAGCTGTCATCTTATCCATTTCTTCGATCATTCCCCACCAATTCATTTATCTATATCAACTATAAAGATGATTTTTGAATAATTTTTTCTCAAAATGTAAAATATCAAGAATCGAAACGAGTTATCATGAGATGAGATGCAAATCCACGCTTTGCATTCATTAAAATTTAAATGAAATAGTGAAAATGGGTGGAATAGATGGTGAACAAACGGCTATTTCATCAAACAATACCATATACAGTTGCCTTGTTTTGTTATTATCAACATATATATATATATATAAAATAAAGATTTATACTTTTGTAGGACCGTGTACGGTACGTTCATCATAACAGAGACACTATGCCACATTTATTTAACTTTTTCAAATCAAGAAGAATATCATGTTAGTTATTAATATCTATTAAATATGTATTTTTAATATATTAATTGAGTTTCAGGATCAGACGATTGATTTATCATATGCAGTCAATCAGTGTTATGAGAAGTTTCCACATACCCGAAGTGTTTATTTGACTCCCAATCCAGGTTATGAAACACAATGACACATCTAGACAGTCATATCTCTATTATAGATATTGAGAATTCTCAATTGTATGCACCAGTAGAAATCAAGGCGTCCTTATCTTACTCAGCACCATATTCCATTGAAAATGGTCAGTTTTCATACAAATTAAGATATCCTTGATATTTCTTTTTTTTTCAAGAAAGACAAGAAAAGACATTAAAGGATTGTGTACATGATGAAAGAGAGTACATCTATGAACCAAAAAAGGTCCATGAAGTTATAAAGTCTCATAAGAGTTCTATAAGTTGTGAAGATGACGAATGCATAACAGACGATGAAAAGCTTCCCGAAGATATATACTTTGATGATAACTCATCATATAATATGTTTGATGAAAGTCATTATTCATATGAGATTGTAAGCTGTGTTACATTTAATCTTTTAATTTCTTCATTTGTAGTTGAAAAGCCGTTTTCGTTTGAATAGTGGAACATTCAGGTAATGAATCACACGTAATATCTTATTAATATTCTTTTGCTGCCCACGGCTTTTGTGCAAGATGATAAAGAGTTATCGGTGATGTGTTGAGGGAGTGAGCTGTGATAAGCTATTGATTCCGAATTACAAATGATTTCTGAGTTTTCTATCAATCACGAGTGTATTAAGAATGTAGAAGAATGGAATGTCTTATCGTTCAAAAAGCTATAAAGGCGATTACAATCTGAAGTAAGATTCTTATTTGCCATTCGATTTGATAGTCAACAGATACACCGCCCTTATCAGTAATTCATTCGACTCACCATCGCTGTGAGTGAGAAGCGGTTTCTAAAACTTTATTATACTGTTATATCACTCTTTTTGAGTTTATTATTTAAAACTTTTTGAATTATTTTAGTTTTTTTTTTAAATTTCTTATTTCTTCAGTGATACCATGACAGCTCAGTCTCCATTTTCTCGTGGATTCCCATATGGAGGAAAACCAGGTAATACTGCTCTTTTGAAATTATTCATTGCTCAATATTCTAAGATCATTCTGGAATTTATTCCGAAACTGGTGCTACTATTGCCTTCACCATCAGAGATACTCGTGATAGAGAGAAGAGAGAGATGGCCGTTCTTAATGATCGTCTTGCCAACTACATTGAGAAAGTTCGCTTCTTGGAGGCTCAAAACCGTAAATTGGCAACCGATCTTTCATCTCTCCGATCCAGATGGAATGTCGATTCAAGCTCCGTGCGCGTTATTTGGGAAACTGAAGAAACGGTTTGAGGTTTAATATATGCAAAAATTGAAGAAATTCTTTCAGAACACCAAGCGCTCTATCGCTGAATCACTGAGACGTAACAAGGCTTTGGAGGATGACATCGTACGTTTGAATGTCGAGCTCACCGATATCAGAAGACATTACGATGAAGCTTACTTGGGACGTAAGAACTCCAGAGCTGAGGCTGATGGTTTGTTGAAAAGACTGTCTGAAATCGAATCTGAGGTAAATTGAATGTTCCAAAGTTTGAATTTTTACAATGTTGTTTGTAGATAAGCTTGGTAAAACGTAAAACTGGCGTTGTTGAAGAAGAAATTTCTCGTTTGAGAAGAGAAAACCAACACTTGTCTAGCGAATTAGCTAGTAATAAAGCCGTGAGTAACTGATAAGATAAGACATTTTTAACAATCTCATTAATTTCAGGGAATTGACACCGAGTATGCTTCAAAGAAAACTTTCGAGAAGCGCGTTTCTGAGCTTCTGAGAGAATGTGATGATCTCGAAAAGGGACAAGCATATGAAATGAGCGAACTTGTCGTCAAGGCTCATCGTGACACAACAGAAGAAAACAGAGACTACTTCAAGCGAGAGTTGCAGGCTGCTATCAGTGATATCAGAAGAGAATACGATAAGGTTTGCGATAAACAGGAAATATGGTAGTTCAAGCTCTAAATAATTAGATCACTGCTTCTGCGAAGAGAGAAATGGATAGCTGGTTCTCAAAGATGACAATTGAAATTCAAAGTCAAGCTAAGGCTGCTAACCTGGAACAAGCTCAAGCTCGTGAAGAGATTAAGCGTCATAGAGAAAGCGTTGTTGAATTGCGCAAGAAGCTCACTGAATTCGAGACTCGCAATGCTCTTCTCTCCAACCAAATCAAGGATATCAACTTCCTTATCGAAGATGAACAAAGGTTTTTCGCGCAAAGAAAAACATTCATGAAATTTATTTTTCCAGAGTCTATGTAAGCAACATTAAGGAGCGCGATGATGCCATCAATCAAATGCGTGATGACTGTAAGAAACTCATGCTCGAGCTCCAACTTCTTCTTGATACCAACACGGTAATAGTGTCTTATTATACAATTTCTCATTTAATTTCGTTACAGAGCGCTGAAGAAGAAATCAAAATGTATGCTAAGATGCTTGATAGTGAAGACAGTAGAGGAACCCTCCAGAACATTGTCCAACATACCACCTACTACACTCAAAGAAGCAATTGATAACCATTTTGCTAATTGAAGAATCATTCAAGATTTGTATTAATCAACAAGCTGAACAAATAGCTAGCCATCATATAACTTTTCAACTTCAGATTTCGAAAGAATAAAAACTGTTTAAATTGTGTTTTGTCTTCAAACCTAAATCATGATTAAACATGTATTGCTCGCATTGCCGTGAACAGCTTGACAAATATTTTTTATTCAGTCGAAGCTTTGGGTTTGCGAACAGCAAACACTTTCTGTTTTTTTTGCTTCCAATCAACAAACAAGCTTTGAACCTAAATATTTTTGGGTGAGATTCCAATTTTTATCCATTTGAGTGAACACAAGACTACAGAGTACATCAAAATATATGTGATACAGCTATAACTTAGCTTTTTTTCAATTCTGTGGATGTATAAATAGCTAATGCTTAACAAATATCATGGAAAAAAACAAATACAGTTTGGCACAAGCTTCGTCATTGATGGTTTCCTAGATTGATGTTCAAAACTTGTTATCAACTCCAGGAGAAATATATGCTGTATGGCCATGTTTATACTGCAATCCTACAACTCTGCGAAGACATGAACACATGCCTTTCTCCTCATTAGTCTTATACCAAGAATAAATGTTGAAAGCTAAACAAAAAGTGAGAGTGAGATGAACGAGATGATCTATGAGCTTTCACCTGAACAAAACATACGACATTCTGATTCGCTTTCTAAGCGTACTGGATCTCCTTTTCCTCCAGTTATTTTAACATTTCGCAACCTAACTGCTTTTCCATCTGAACACTTTTTTCTTAAATTGAAACTGAAGTAATACTCAGCGTACAGTTGACATTAGCATTCAGTCCGCTGACGTATTGATCATCTTCGACAGAGTATCCAAAAGATGATTTCAAATAGCATCTACAAAGATCAAAAAGGTTGTTCAATGAAGTTCGCTAAAGTCAAATACTTATGAGTTTCGCGGTGAAAAGAATAGGCCAAACAACATCTTTCATTTGAACAAGCTATGCAACAAGCAATTTTATCAGCTGTAGTGAATTCTTCAAACGTTCCTCCAATAAAATTAAGTTTTTGCATATAGAGGCATGAAGCTGAAAGTGGTTGTGAATAAGTGTGTCAAACATCCGCAGCACCTGATACTGTGTGGGAAAAACCAATAAGCAAGACCAATTGAATAAAATGCATCTCAAACTCTCCTAAAATAAGTTATGAATGTAACAACGTCTTTGAGTGCGTGTAGAACATTCACAATGACTAAAGCCTGAGAAATCCTAAAGCTGTTCATGGGAGTATATGGAATTAAGATTAACAACTACTAAAAGGTTTTCCTAGAATAGGAGCGAGTACGTAGACTTAATATAAAATGCAAACAATTTGTGAAAAGACTTTGTCGCCAAACATCAATAAGTCATGAGTTGGCAGTTTCGAATATGAAAGAAGTCAGAGGCTGTTATATGTTACTTTCGGGCATCTAATGTTGTTAATCCATAGAATTGGGTTGGAAACATAGAGAGTAAGCAGTGAACTTTTTTGTTGTAAAGCAAAAGAAAGAAAAACGTGCCGCGTATTAATTTCAATCAATCATGGGCTGAGTGTAGAGTTTCATTTTTTGTTCCTCGAAAATAAGCTTTCATTCATTTTAAAGTTATATTAACAAAATAATAAGCAGTTATATAATATAAAATAGAGATGGATGAAAGATAAATGCAAGCAAGAGAAGCTATTTACTATTGTATATTCTTCCTTCTGTCCAGAAGTCACAATTTCAAAAAGTAAAGTAAAGAAAGTTTACTGCTCACAATATCGTTGATGTTCATGAAAAAAGTTATTTGAACTCGACAAAATCAAACAAAATATTTTTTTGAATCGTCAGCGAAGCTAACAAGTAAAGAATGCATTGAAGATAGTGCATATACATATCACAAAAGGTCAAAACTATTTTGGCACAACAATAATTGTTAAATATATTGAAAAATATATAATGGAAACATGCAAAAATTGAAAACTACGAGCTGTCAGTTGAAAATGTCTGACTTGAACTTAGATTGGATTCAGGAACTTTGACTACAACTGTGCCTTCAGGAGTTGTTAATGTTGCAACTGGATCATCGTCTCTATCAGTAACCTATAATCTCATATATGGTATTATTAAGTCAGAATTGAGATGAATGTTACAAAATCATCATCAGAATCGATAGGCGCTCCACACATGTTCGTATGACTCAATCGGCATTTTAAACCAGCTTGAAATCAGTCTTTCTTTAATACTTGATATCTTTATCATTTCTCACCTTTATATTTGAATGCAAACGCTTCTGTTAGCACTTCTACTTTTTCAAGTTCAGTTATGAAAATTTGTAACATGACAGCCGTGTTCCACATCAAATCATCTAATGAGCTATCAGCTGTTTCTGGGGAGATCTCAAGACTTTCCATATACTCAATTAACTGAAAAATCAAGCTAGATTCATGTATGTTCAAACAATTAAATTTTTACGTAGATCTACGTCAGACGGAAAACTGCATTGAGCAAGCTTATATTTGTTTATGGCTCAAAAAGAGATCCGGTTTTTATTTGAAGTAGCAGTTTGAGCATCAAAAATGTCCCAATGCACTAGTTTGTATTTGACATAATGCCGGATATACAAGACTACCTGCTCCTCATACTTCAACTTCTATTCACTCCTGTACATCATGATTAAATGGCTGTTAATTATTGTAAGAATTTCTTTTATACAATTTAAGTGTGAAAACATCTTGCTTTAGTCTTTCCTATCTCTCTACAGTGAGTGTGCTGTTGTTTGTCCAAGATATCTCAATGTAGTACCAGTTCAAGCTATCGCAACTCCCAATGACAGGTAAACAAGTCGGCATACTCTCTAACTGGTTAAATGTTAAGATTGTGCTGCAATGGAAATAATATGCAAACAGTATATCAAGATGCTCCCCGTGAGTTATCATGCTTTCATCTAAAAAGAAAACAACAGTTTCAGAGAATTTTGATGATGGTTCGCTCAAAGTTGCAACATACTTACAAACCCATGTGAACAATGTGATCGATCAAACATTCGTAACGTAAAAAAGGTTTTCATTTTTCAGGGGATGCTAGTTGCAAATAAAATGGAAGTAGTCTCGCAACCAGGCTCAAATAACATTGTCAATTCAAATATAAGAGTTCAGGTGACTTCAGATATAAAGCGATTGTCACTTTGCAATTTATAGAATGTTTCACAAAATCAAAATCGATTAGCTGACATGAACTCACCAGGAAATTTCAATAACCCGAATCAGCAGTCAAATTCTTTGAACTTCCCTCTTCAATCAAGTACTTCCGGTCCGCTCATTTTCACACCGACTCCTAATGTTTGGTCAGGCCCTTCATTCAATAACAACCAGCCTACAAACTTATTCGGACAACCATACCCATCAACGTCAAGCGGCCAAACCATGAACGGACAAGGTGTGAACGGTCAAATGCCAAATGGAGTCATGGGTCCAACTTCAATGGCAAATAGCCAAAATTTGAATGTTCCAATGGCAAACGGTCAAATGGTAAACACCGGTATTAGCACCGCCCCTACGACAAATAATCGAATGATCTATGGACAAACTACACTGAGCCCGACACCCAATGGTAATATGCAGTCCCCTCTATATACTGCTCAGCCAAACATGAATCCACAACAACCTCAGACTAATTTCGGAATTAACAACGGATACAATAATCCGACTCAAGGAAATCGCAACATTTTACTAGATGGGCAAACACCAACTTATTCGAACGAACGAGGATTTTCAAATCCTTCTTCACCGAACGCTTTCTCAACAACAATGCCGTTTAATCAAAATCAGCAATCGACAACTATGCAGCCTTTTGCACAAAGTACGATGAACAATCAAAACTTTAATGGGATAGTTAACCCACAACAAAACACCAACAGGAACTTCGACTATGCAACAACCTCATATTCTCCAACTACTCAAAGACCATTCACAAACGGTGTGCAGCAGTTTCCTAATGCCATGCAATACACTACTGGCAATAATGTGTCCCCAACTAACTCGAATCCAAGTTTTACTCAAAATGAAGGAATCAATTATGGTCCAAATGCTCCTTCAACAATATCAACAAATGGATATTCTTCTCCAAGTACTCTTTACACGTCGCCAAGCACTTCATCTTCTCCACTCATAATGTCAAATGCCAACAATCTCAACAACAGAGGTCAAACACAGATACAAAGTACAACGCCGTTTTATCCATCCTCTCTCAACACTCAACAAGCGCAAACAGTCACTCCCTATCCTACAACTTTGAATGGACGACAAGGCTCACCAGTAACAACAAGTAAGTTATGATTCACTGTCGGTACATTGCTAAGTGGCGTTGACAATAAAATAGCCATAAAACGCATCATAAAAATAATATTATTTATCTCAGACCAATACAACCCAAGTAACCCTATCTTATCAACATCGAGAATTCCTCCAACGTACACACCGAATGGAGAAGGAATCGATCAATTCGTATGATTAAATATTACGAAAAAAACAAAAAGTTATCGATTTCCAGCCAAACCACGTATTGTACGATTCAGAGCGCATGATTAACACTCAATTTGGAGACTACACTAGTGGAAAACAAACTCAATCTGGTACTGACATTTTCAGCTACAATACAAAAACCAATTTATTTTCAGTTGTTATCTCTCTGCTCGCTGTTCTCATTCTCAAGATAGCATTTTGAACATGTGAAAGAAAGGAAAAAAATTTCATCTTACTTTTACAAGGTCCGGTGAATTTGCGGCAAAATTTTTCTGTAAAAAACTGCATTCTTCACACCTGTTAAGCAGTGCCTGAAGATACATGTGCTTTGATAATAAAATATTTAACATATAACTAACTCACCTGTAATATGGGCATAAGAGGATGATGTCGAATTTTACTTTTTTCATCTTCAGAACAAGTATTCGATAGAACACTTGACATTTCTACTGAAAACACAGAAAAATATGGAACCAAGCTATCAACACCTGACCAACTGTTTGCTATACGTATCTTCTCACTATTTCATCTCATTTCCCTATACCTGATGATTTTCCTACCTTTAACGCGATGAACCATAAAAATTTATGACATGAAGGAACCAGAAAGATAAAATGTCGCAGAAATAAAATAAGATTCGAAAGGAACAGGAAAAACTCCGAACAAATCTGTTATGTACAGTTCACATAAAAAAACAAAATTCAGCTTTACAAATGTACAATTTAAAAAATCTCTGAGTTAATCTTGTTGACCACCTGGAACATTTTGTTCTTGTTCCCATTTCAAGCATTCATCTTTGTAAATATCAGGACGTAGTTGATTTCTAATTCCTGTAAATAAAAATATTGAGTAGAAATTGAGATTTGCTTTGAACCTCCTAACAACTGAAAACTTATTTGGAACCCGATAACCAAAGGTCTCAACAGAGCTGGTGGAGCCAAGCGAACGATGGTTTTGAAAGAGTTTGATCCTGTTGCTCTGTCTTCTTGTGTGGTTATTTGATAGTCTTCCTTAACTTGTTTCACACCCTAGAAGAATAATATTTTTAAAATCTAAACCAGTCGTGTTTTCACTTCTGCCATCAGTTTATAAGCCATTTGAAGACCTTGAGGGAAATTGGTAGGAGGTGCATTTGAAGAAGAAGGTCGTTGCCGATACTTCCTATTCAAATATGCATTCTCCGGCTGAACTTCATTGAGAACGGCTTCCCCGACAAGCTGTAAAAACGTTTATTTACTATAACACAAAGCGTCATTCTACAGACCTGAACAGCGCCAACAACAGACTGCGCGATGCCAACAATACCCGCAGCGGAAGATACACTGAACGACCCCACGCCTTTCTGGATTCCTTTTACGATATGACCATCCGGTTTTTTGAATTCAGCTATTGGCAACCAGAATAAGTCCATGAATCCTCTTCCTATATCAATATATAGCAAGAGCGCACAAATATTAAACTAACCGATTTGTACAATAGGACTGATAGGCCCATAACTAGCTAGTACATTCGGCAGGTTCGTCATCAGATCATTACTCCATTCTATTAAAGCAAACTTAAAAAGGAATATAAAGAAATGCTGTTTCTATATAAATCAAACATCTAAGCAGCGAGATATTCCTAATAACCCATTTGTTGATTCTAATTCTTTAAGTACAATTTCCGTTCCATTTAATTGAGCAAATCCCCGTAAAATACCTAAAAAATTGAGAATTAGCATGTAGAACGTCAAATTTTTCACAAACCCATCATTGCACCCTCACGGTCCATATTCATCTTATTTTTGCCGTGATAATCAATATATACAGAAACAGAAGGGAAGAAGACGAACTCTCTGAAGAAGAAAAAAAGTTGAAACTGTGTTTATAAAAAAAAACCTATAATAAATTTCATTTGATGGGACTATCTTGGAATCTGTTGATTTCGTGTTCTCCTCATTCTCAGAAGATGGGGACTTCTCCTTAATTTTTAAAAGTTCTGATATCATTAATTGGGTATTCTAACCACATCTGGATAAATTTTATCGGACGAGTTTTCGAACTCTGTTGGTTCGTCCAAGTTCACTAAAATGTCTTCTTTTGGCTCTGGTACAACACTTTCAGACTGTTTCTCAGCATTCAGATCAGACTGCCATTGATTTTTTGGGATAACCGTTTGCAGAGAATTAAATGATTCATCTGAGATGAAAAAACAAATGAAAATATCTGGTTATGATTCGAACCTCTTGGAAAGAGAGAAGCGCATGAGAGAAGAACTTCTTGAACAAAATCTTCCACAAACAACATAGTGTCCTGATCGATGTTGAGCTTGGCAGGCAACATAGAAATCTGCAATAGTCACGATAATGATGCTACATGTGTAGAGCGTTTACTCGAATTTTTCCTTCTTTGCCAGTAGTTTCGAGTATTCTTACAGCAAGGAATGGAGCACAGCTTCGTTTGGGAACATTCATCTTAGTGTACTGCAACCAGATTACACATACATTTCCAATAAAATTCTTTTACTTGATACAAAATCTCTTTTATAGGACTGATGGTGAGCCGATCTGTGATCACGATGTCATTCAGTGCAATAAACTTTGTTGCAGAAGTTCCACTCTTCTCTTGATAAACATTGTACAACACAGTTATCTTCAATTACATATTTTTCTTTGAATATTCTATGAAATAACCTTTTTCAGATCTATTTTGATCGCAACACTCTCATCTCGTCCTATGCTTTTTGCATACTTGCTGTATTTCTCTTTCGAGGAATCCATACGATCTCTAGGTGATCCACTATAGCTTTGACGAACTTCATTCTTTTCTGAAAAACAGAATACTAACTCATTTGGGTAATGAACTTACTGAAATCGCTTCCACCAAAAAAGTTCACCTGAATGCTTATATTGTTACAGAAAAATCTGGAAATCATCGTTTCTTCGTAAATTAAAGCTGTGAATGGCGAACCTGACAAGAGGTTTGCAATCGGGATTTTTGTAGGAACTGATGGCCTCGTTTTTGAACTGAGAGTTCGGTTTTTTCAGAAAGCATGGATCAAAAAGGATCTTTCTTGCTTTATTGATTTTGACAACAGAGTGTCCGGCATTTTCATTCTGGATTGAGAAGATCTTTTCAGGGTAATGAAATACGTTACTACCAGTATACCAGTTCCAATAACTCCCTCATCTATCACACAAAACTCATCATCTGTCTTGATAGCGAACGCTTCTCTGTTGGCATAAGGATCAGGAATCTAAACGAATCAGTGGAAATCATAAAAAAATGGAACAAACTGGATGAACAGAATCAGTATCGACGAGGGAGAAATCATAGTTCTTATATAACATTTTGTTCGAAGGCGGGGGATGTTCCTGAGATGCTTTGGTGATTTTCTGAAAAATCTGATTGTATTTGTCGTAGAATAACAATATAACCTCTAGAATCCTAGATGGACACAACGAAGGTTCTTCGAATGAAGTTGTTTCCTGGTTGAGAGTATCAGAGGAAGATGGTCTAGTAGAAATATCGCCGGGAGTAGATGAAGATATGATAGAATCTCCAGATGCGAGATCGTTGAGAATGCTCAACAACGCTACTACCGAGTCAGCACACATCCAGAACTGTTTTGAAAGACATTATGAAAACTATACGAAAAGATTATTACCCGAATGACATCGTTTTCGAAAGAAAGATCAGATAACGTGTTGTTGTTACGTTTTTCAGGTGGCAGGCAACATAAGAAAAACTGCGGAAGAGAAGGTAAGAAAAAAAAGAGAGAAACATACTTCAGTATGAAGTGAATCGATGTCAACTACTTTGACTCTGTTGATATGCTTCGTAGACGCTACCTTCTCCTTCGTTGTTTTGAAATCCATATCTGTTTCTTCTTGCAATTGTTTACACAGAAATAGACAAGTTTGTTCAATAATGAAATTATACTGAAAAAAGTATGAGCAGGATATATACTTTTGAAAAACCTTGATATATTCCATTCCTTCTCCGAATGAAGCACTCATGTAGCAGTATCCCATGAACAAACTGTAAATAGGAAAATCAATGAAAAGTTTAAACAAATCGTGACGAACTCTAAACCAAAATCATTCTGTAGATTGAATAAGTAATGCTTGTAGCTGATCAATCCTTGTTCTATTGAGAAATGAACATCGTTCTAAAAAGCTTTAAGAAAAGAACTGCTTTCTTCCAACTTACGTTAATCTGAGGAAATTCATAACCAGGGATTTCGTAAGTTTTAATATTTCCCAGAGAAGGGACGTAGTTTACAAGAGTATCAATGAAATCTGGTCTCAAATCTAAAAAGAAGTTTCGGACGTTCACAGCTGTCAGTATTTCCTGAAAATATTGTCAACTGACAAACATGAAAAAGTTAATACTTTTCGGTTGCTTTCAGGTTCAAAAACAATTTTGCAGGATAAAGAGAGCGTAGCTTCATCTGATATTGGCAACGAATTATCTTTGCGCGTACTAAACCCGGAAAACGTCCTGGAAATTATGGTTGCACTCATGCGATTTAATGGTGTTCCTACTTTGATTTATCTCGTTCGCCCTCCATGTTATCTTCAGGTTCTTCTGAAACACATGCATAATAGAAACTAAGAAGCGTTCTCACCTCCTAAGCTGACTGTTTGTGATTTCACATACAAGTATGATAGATTGGAATCGCCATGATATCCACTAGTAAAAAAGAAATCAAAGTTGTCTCCAGTGTATTTAAGATGTTTGGTTTCGGGAGCTCCCATCTTGAAAACATATTGAATGGAATAATAAGCCTATAACTTACTTTTTTATCGTTAGTAAGTTGCATTACAGTTGTCAGTTTATCAACACTCAGATCGAAACTGAAAGCGTGCGACTTGAAAAATTCTTTATCATCATCATTGACTCCAAGGAAATCATTGTTCGCTGCAAAATTTCTTTATTCAGCTTCTTACGATCATCGCACTTCTCTCGTTCATAGATGGAAATTCTTTGAAAACTTTCACATCAATTCCAGAAACTCCAGAATTTGATGGGAAATCCGGCTCCCATAACAGTAAGTCGCTGCTCTGATAAAAATAACTTGTCAGTTATACATTAAATTTTTTCAAACCAATCGATTGTAGAGAAGTTCTAATATCTCAAGGTTGTTGATTCTCACTACCGCTTGAGGCAATGAAAGACTTATGACATGTTCCGAGTTTTTCATTGCATTGTTTTTGAAGTTGAGAAGATCGTCATTATTTCCTGCTTGGATAATCTGTTGATCATCAAGATTTCAGTATTTCACAGTCGCAAACATACATTTTGTTGTCCTACTTTTCTATCTTCAGTTTTCTCAGAAGGAATAAATATTTTCCGGAGTGGTGAGAAAAGACCTTCCATTTTTTCTCGATTTTCAATAATGGGTTTGAGTGAAGAAGTAAGTTCATTCTTTTCTGACCAAATACCCGATCCGTTAAGTTTTTGCAATGAATTACGTATTTCGAACCTAAAAAATTGTTTTTTTTGTGTCGAAAAGACTGAAAAACCTCAAAAGTTTATCATTTAAGGAGTGTGCTTCCAATAGTCTACTGCGTTCAACAGTTCCTTCGGGAGTTTCGTATACGAATTCCCCTAAAAGCTTTGATGAAGAAATAAGCATCAGTTCTAACCTGATAGTGACTTCAATTGAGCTTCAAACGCAAACTGTTGAGACAAGTTCAAAACGCAAACTGCTTGGGACATAATGAACTCTAAATGTTCTTTATGAACACCAGAATCTCTCTCTGTTGTTTCCCTCATATCCGAAATAGGTATTCTAAAAGATTAAATAGTCTCTCACATTTGAACAAGATTTTCTCACTTGAAACAGAAAGCGATGCTTTCACAATTTAATGTTATCTCGATTCCATTACTGTTTTCTGAATCATCTCGATGATGTCTGAATAATCTTTACGTTTTTGAATTCTTTTTTTTATTACCTATCACCATAAGATTGCAACGCTGACATACTGAATATTCTATTCGGATGGAAGAAATGTTTTAGACGGTTAAGTATTGTTACATCAGCAGTTAGGTTCATTCCCATTGCCGTAACGACACAACTTTTCTGAAAAACAGTATGACTACTGACGGAGTTTCAAACGAAGCCTCAACCTTCTCCGAATAATAGGCTATTTCGACAACTGGACATCTCTGCTCTGATTCACCGATTATTTTGTTTTTTTCTTCGAAGATTAGAATCGGTTGTTGCTCAAACACACCTTCACTGCTTTTCACACATTCTGATATATGAAATTCATTGTGTGTTAATCTGATTTTCATTTGTGAATCATAAGTGTCGCGTTGAATGTCTAAATACGCCACAGCACTGGTATACACTCTGCAGAATGAAAAAAAACATGAATAAGCTTGTTGAATACAAATGATGATACCTCAAATATTCCTCGTTCAAGTTCATATTTTCGAACGACATAGTATTCTCGAATTTATCTAAGGCATTGAAAAACCTTAATACATGGTTATCTCTGCAATGTTGTTGAACTAACTTCTCTGATAAATCTTTTAAACAGGAAACGTTATTGTCAGCTTTGGCAGGGTTGAAAGATGAAAGAGGGTCAGTATACGGTAAACAACAAATGAATTCTCCAATATCTATTCTGACGTGGGTATCAGCAGGATTACTGAGTTGTAAACTGCTGAGCTTTGCTGCACATTCGTTTATTTCATTGCAGTTGCTAGAACTGTTTCTGGGTCTGGAATGTGTTTCAGTTTCGCCTGATAACTCGATATCATCGAATGGTCTGAAGTCCTGTCTTTCTTTCCACCTTCCTGAAGAGATTTTTTTATGACTTTAACAAATCAGTTTTCACCTCCTAATGATTGATAATGAGAACTGAAGGGTTCCGAATCTTGTATAACTTTCCCATACTCCTCTTCGTCAATTTGACGTTGTGACCTATCTAGTCCTGGAGATTTATTGCTACCCGCTATCCAGAAGTTGAAAATACTTGGGAAAAATATGTTGAACGGAAATAAGAGCATTCATACCTTTTGATTATCTCTAACTGTGATGGAACTGTTACGCAGAAAATTTTAGGACAATTCACTTCTATTTCGACCTGTTATATAGCTACCCATAACTCTATTCTGTTCGCGATGAAAACAAACCTGACCAGTTGAACCTCCAAATGATATTCTTACTTCAGATTCTATTGGAATGGATAGGAACTTAACGGGGTTTGAAGCAATACTGAACTTCAGCGTTTTCAATTTATTCATCAGAACTCTTACCTGACGTATTCTTCTTGTTCAGTTAAATCATTGTCAGTCCTCGCTTCTTCCACTGAAAATCAGAGTTCGAACTTCAGTTAAAACAACTCTCTAACTTGTACTGTAACATGATGCATAGTTTGTAGTATCACTTGTGAACATCGCTTTAGTTTTGTTTCTCTTCTCTTCATGCTCACTTTCGAGCTCACAAAAAAAATCCGTGAACACTGATATATCTTTAAAGAGGTATTGAATTTTGACTATTCGTTATTATTAGATTGTGATTACCTTTGAACTGAATACATTTAACAGCATCTGCAATAGCGTTCGTTACATGAGAACTTGCAAACTCTGGTTCTTCATTTTTGATTTGTTCATCTTGGAATAAAGCCCTAAAGAGAACTTCCAATTTTACTATTATAACTCTTGTTCAAACTCTTTGATGACAATCTCAACAGCTCGAGTAATATGGAGTTCAGACTTTGAATGAACTTCTAACCGTATGGTAATATCTCTTGCTTCTAAGCAGAAGCGAGAAACGATTGTATCAATGACCTAGAAATCAGTTCTGATGATACTTTATTTTTCTTTTGACAACCTTTTTGAAGGACTGTATCCCGTTCCCATGCTCCTTATCTTCATTCGTTTTATAAAAATCTTTGGCTATATCTTCAGGAGAGACAATGCTATCTGCAACACCTTCAAACATTGAAGTCACTAAAAGAAACTCTTTCATATTAAGAAAAATAACAATTTCGAACAAAGTTCTTCGTTCATGAAATCCCCCAAAACAGAGAATACCAGTTCGAGCTTATCAACTGTGAGTTTACTTGATTTAGAAGATAACGATGTCCAGGGTATGTCTGAAACAATCATAAGGATCCCTCCAACTATGCATTCGCTAACCAAGTTCTAAGTTGCCAATAAAACCATCGACTAACTCTAATGGTATGTTCATTTCTTGTAATTTCTGATTGACACATTCAACGTTTAAATGCAGGTCTGATAAAGAAACTGATCGTGTTGTCAGATCCATTTGGTCCAATGATAACGTTTGTTGAAGATACGGACCGAGATATCTAACGATCAAACATGTTTGAACTTCAAGCAAGATTATAACCTAACCTGTGTATTATATATCTCGCCCATCCTTTTTGCATATTCTGTTTTATACCAAAATCAAAAAAATCCATTTCTTTCAGTGAATACTTGTTTTTCTGTCTGCAATTTGTGAGAATGAAACGACAATAACAAAACATGAAATGAACAATATGCTGAGCATAGTCAACAGAAGATTATAGTCAAGATTGAAATAAATGAAAGCAATTGTTGAAAATACGAACAAGGAAACAGAATTATAGAAGGAAAAACAGGTAATGCAGTAAGCAATGTAATTTTCCATGATAAATAATATACTTGAGTAGATGCATACAAAAATATCATTATTGATTGGCTGCATTCTTGATAAACAGTTTTGAAAGACATTTCAGAGAAAACATTCTATGGGAGAAAGAATATTGTTTTTCGTTCAACATATTATTATACTCTAACATGTATTTTTTTTATTATCAAAAATAGTACTCTTTATGACGCCACTTATTCATATATATAAATATTTGTAAACAACGATCATCACATGAGAGACAGGGTCACAAATGCCGACCGCTGCGCGCCTATAATCACGTGACAGTTGTGGCGCGTATTGTGCGCTGACATGTAAAAAGTGTAATTTATAGGTTGAACATTAAACACATTTTTGCAGTTTACACAAACAATTTTTATCTTTTTTTTTCTCTCTTTTTGCTATCAAGATCGATTAGAATTCCTTTATCAAGTATAATGAAAATGAATAACACACATCTCCTTTGTAATTCAAAAATTTATGTACATTTACAATAATATTTATACACATGACATTGATAAATCACAAAGGAATGACTAGAATTGAAATTCTAATAAAAATCTATAATAACTAAAGGAAATTCTTCTGCAAATTATTATGATTTTTACGCAAAAACTTATTAGCATATATAACTGATAATTTAGTAAGAATAGTATGCTCTGAAGTCGAAAGATCATGAAATTAGCATTTGGACTTTAGGAAGGAATCTCTATCGAATCTAGTTGAAGTTTTTACAGATATTTACATGCCAGTGTGATGAAGATGTCAGCTTCTTTTCATGCAAAGTTCTTTTACGAATGGGTCCACTTCCCAGTTTTTGAATAATTCCATTACTTGCATGTTTTCTTCGTTTTGGGCTAATATGTTCTGAAATAGCAGAAAATTCATCAGTTTCTGTTGTTGTCATTTTCAAACCTGGATACTTGCTGTCATCATCAGTAGGCTTCCATATTTTTGAACACCGGCTGTTGAGCCGAGTTTAGTCGTAATGCAGGAAAATAGAGCACTGAGATATTTATTTCTCTCCTCGTATACTTCTGGTTTGGCTTGGTTAGAAAGATCAATTGCGTCTATGATGGCAGCATTATTATTTATTTTTATAACTAATTATCACCTGGATTAAAAAATAGAGCAGCTTTGAAGGTAGCAAACTCTGCCACATTGAGCTGCAATCTGCGAAAAGGGAGCATAATTTCATCCATTTGGCGGGTATATATTGGCCGACAACCCGATAATTGCACCTTTTTACACAGAGATTTATAAATGTAGTCTTTTATGAAAAATTACTTGTTGTTGAGGTTGTCTCATAATGAAGGCTCCATTTTGAAAAACTATCTTGTCTGGTCCGTGATCCGGAGAATAAAATACGCGATTCAATAAATTGAATGCAAATGCGAAATTTCTTACAAGTGCAAACTGACAAAGTATAAATTATAAATTAGTTCACTGAAATTTCTCACTTGATCGTAATGACTAATTCTTTGGTATGCATCAAAAGTTTTGGCCCATTCTATGCATATCCGCATCTCTCGAATATTCCATATCCTAATGTCATTCATTGAGGCGGGGTAGAGCTCTTTGAAAAAGGTAGAAGGCTGAAAAGAAGAATTGGAAATGAGGCAAAGTTAAAAGCTGCTGAAGTGAAACAAATGCGCACGTCTTGTTTGAGATCCATTGTATCGAATAAAAGGCAGGGGGATGTCAGAGCATGTTGCACCCCGGCAACGTCTGGCATAACACATCTTCTCAGTTCTTGGCACAGGCCTTCTAGATGACTGAGATTTTCAACGATTTCCTTAAAAGTTTCAAAAATCATAAAGCATCAAGGCGTTTCCTATTACTTGGTCTAAGACGCGTTGAGGCGTGGCTGATCTGTCTTCGTCTGAGCCACTACCTACTTTGACTTTCTTCGTAGGTCCTATACGATCTCGGTCATTTTGAATGGCTTAACCATAATGATAAGATAAATCAAAGATAATTCTTATATACCTTTGGCATCCATTCCTACTTGTAAACATTTATTAAATCGGCAATGACGACAAGCACAACGAATATCTATAATTAAATTATGAGCATATTAATGAATAATGTGAATTACTCTTGTTCACATCACAGTTTCCGTTATATTGGCAAATGAAAGTTTGTTCACTAACTATTGTTCGGCGAAAAAATGTTTTGCTGAATAGTTGTAAAGAGGAATTAATCAATAAATGCTAACACACCATCCATTACAACTGGCAACACCATAATGGTATCCAGTCGCTAAATCTGAGCATACGGCACAAAGTTCGCCTTCTGGCACTTTTCGACCTAATAGTTACTGATTATTAACTGTAAACTATAGTTATGCATACGTTGAGCCATCCTCTTGTATGAGTTAGAAAAATGCGGTTTACGATCAGCACTTAGTTTTCCAACGCAATACTGTAAGGAAGTTTGAAGATGTCCATTCAAAGAAGTGCTCAATGACGACATCTTGTTAATTCATGTGAGAAACATAAACTGAAATGGCACGTTTAACCGTCATAATCAATTCATTTTTTACAAATATTTTTTGAAAAGAAAAAAAGGAAATTGAAACAATTATATACTGAAGATTACTTCCATGTAGCATTCAAATTAGTTTTGATTGTCATTAGTGAAGTTGTTAGTACGTTGATGGAATCTCAATAGAGCTGTGACAACCGGTGCGACAGACGGGAGAGAAACGAAGCGGCCGCAGCAGACACGCAGACGACTCTCGAAAACATTGACCATTACACTGAGTGGCAGAGATGCAAAATAAAAGTTTGCTTAAGGTTTTCATAAGAGAAACACTATCTTAAATAATAATAGGAGAAAGTCATCAACATTAGTATCATGGCTGCACAACGTATTCAATTATAATTGACTGAACATTCATTCTGTTCATCATTCTCGTCTATATGATACTATTCGTTGCAGTGTCACACAGTTTGCCTAAGCCTAAGCCAAAGCAAAAAAAATGTGACGAGAAGAAAAAAGTTTCATCTTAGAGGTAAATGATTACATTAGACGCATCAGGCTGTGAACTTTTGATCAGTCATCATTGTGAACATCACTGTGCTAAACAAATGCTATTTGTAAACTGCGTACTGTTTTATATGTAACGCCTTGTTGACTAAAGTATAAATGATGACTATCGTGTAATCTATATTATCACATTCCAATGGTTGAACACGAAGATATGTTTTCGAGTGAGTTTTCGCTATCGATTTGCGATTTTGATTAGTTTTTTTCCGATTTGTCAGAGCCTTTGCATTGTAATGATTGTTCCTCTCCTGTTGTTAATTGGGCATCACTAAATAGAGGAGCATTGTTATGCAATGATTGCTGTGCAATTCATCTTTGTTTGGGTAGGTATACTTCTAGCTGATGGATAAAATAAAAGACAATTGTTATTGTTTAGGGCGACACATATCCGAAATAAAAATTTTGAAAGGAGATAACTGGAGAGGGAAGCAGTACAGTTTAATGCAGTATTTGTACAAGTTCATTGTTGTATATCGTTGTTCAATTTAATGCTTATATTGTTTCAGTAAATCTGCTCACTTAGTATGGAATAAGAGCACAACGTCATTGGTCCCCAAAATCAATGACTTAACAGATTCGATAAGAGAGCAGAATATTATAATGAAGTATAGCCAACCAAATTTGTCGAAGAACTTGAATGCAGAAAATCAGGATGTCAACATGCAGTTCCTTGCTTGTGTTAGAACTAGTCATGTTGAAATCACACTCCGGTATTTTATCACTATCGTTTTGGGCATATGACTGAGAGATCTTAAGCTTGTTGTCTCTTGGTGCGCGTACGTCGTTCATTGATAAAGATACTGGGAATACATGCCTACATATTGCTGCAAGAGAAGGACAGGATTTACAGGTAATTTTCCGAACGTTGAACTAACAACGCTCGGACAGTTTCTGAAGTTGCTTCCATGACTTACAGGTTGAACTACTTTTTCTGTTTGGTGCTGATCCTAATGCTCGAAACAAAAATGGAGTTACGCCTAGTCAGGCAGCAGCGTGCAACAACCATGTGAGTGATTAGGATCAGACTTTTTCGTTATTATTCATAGGCGTCGTTGGCAAACCGTTTAATAGAAATGAAAAACCATTTGATTCAAGAAATCAAAGCTTTTGTGAACAAGGGGAATAACACAAAAACGCTCGAGGTATGGAGTTAGCTAACTTAATATAAGCTAATCGAACTATTCTTTATCAGGATGATGAACATCAAGTCTTGAGGGTATATCTTAGTAATCAATCTATGAAAGACTCAAAACTGTTGAACACCCACTTGAGAGGATGTAACGAAAAGCAGTTTATCAGAATTCTTCAAGATATATATGATGAAGTAAGATTCTAGCAAATCGTTCTCATAATTTGAAATCACCACAAAGGTTGAGCGACGTAAAATACTCATGGATTGGAAAAGTTTGCCAAACGGAAAGTTCTTTATAGAAGAGAAAAAAACTGCGGCGTTTCTCCCAGTGAGTTGCTAAGAAAATCGAATGCGTAATATTGTGGAAAATTAGTCAGTCGCATCTTATTCTCCTACCCACAATCAATATCGTCAAAAGTTGGCTAAACTGAGCTCTGAACAGTTTGTTTTGCTAATTCTTCAAGTTTTGAAGGTAATGCTCACAGCAACATAAGAATTCAGCGTTATTAGTTTAATTTATAGGCGTATAAACGTAGATCTACATTGGAAATTGGGAGGAAAACAGCTGATGATACTCCAAGTTATGGCATTAAAGCTGTAGGTGTTAGGAAAAGTGAAACTGATTCGTCAAATATTCGCCATCAACACATATCTTCAAACAATGTTTCTATGTCATCTACTTCTTTCGCCACTTCGTCAGGAGCAGGTATGAATAGATTGAAGAAGTCTTCTAAATTTCATAATTCATGTTACAGATAGCTTCATAGAAGCTACCGAAAAACTGACGGCTGACATACGCTACTTAGTAAAAGCCACTCAAAATGATATGACAGCGGAAATAGCTGAGAGTCATGCTACCAAAGTATCACATTTCTCTGAAAATGCAGTATTAAATCATTACTTTCAGATCGGAGAGAGTGTTTTCAAACTGATCAAGTGCATTTCAATTGAATTCAAAAATGAAAGAGTTGTCCAACTGACAGACATACTATGGGATAGTGTTGCGGTTTGTAGAATCATAATCAGATAATCTTAAAGTTATCCTTTCAGCTTTTGAGCTGCAAGTGTAATTCACCGTTCCTCAAAAGCGAAGAAATATGTGCTGCTGCATTTGACCTAGCACAGGCAACGAAAAATTTACTTTCATTCGTCAATCAATGATTTGTTATATCTCATTACATTACTATTATCAGAATCATGAAACCAAATTATAAATGCAAATGATGAAATAAAACTATGATAACCACTCCCTGTTTTATGACTTGATAGACGTATTATCACCATCTGTTTGATAATATCATTTCAAATCAGACCATCTGAGTGATGGCTGGTCCTCTGAAGTTGTTGCTTTTATTGAACCTTCTACTTTTTACATCAGGTAAAAGATATTCTGTTGGAATTGATTTTTAAATTGTCTTTAGCCTTTTTCAACAAAAAAGCTCTCAACTACTATGAAGAGTTAGAATCAACCAACAATGTTCCGTTTGTTGATGCAAGAGAATTCTCCACCTGTGAATCTGGTTGGACTGGACCATACTGCCACAACCGTGGGTATTTTTTTACAAAATTTATTACAATAAAAGTTTAAGCAATTTGCTCGGCTCGCAGTCCCCAACCTTCCTCAGGTAGCTCCATCCAATTGATAGAACATATTTATATGCCAAATGGATGTTCTGGAGCGTAAGTGTTATCGCTATCAAGTGCATTGTGTCATTTTTATGGTTCATCACTTATCATTTAGCTATTATGTACCATTTGATTCATCTAGTGATTTTGTGTTTATACAAGTTCATACAGGAGGTCCTAACTGCACAATCCACGTAACAGATCAGAGTGGTACTCATCATTTAGGATATTTTTTTTCACAAATTTTTTCTTCAGGAAATGAAATGAAAGGACAATTCGGTTCAGCACCAGGAACGTGTTACGCACAGTAAGTGAAAGACAATGCTCGAGATTTCGGATCTGTATGAAATTTTCCCAGATATAATTCTTACAATCCAGGAGCTTATCAAATGACAATCGATACCGCTGGATTACCAACGGTTGATTGCAATGCTCAAATCGAAGTATGATAGTTTATACTGGATAGTGAGATAATTCCATTAAGGCTTCCTCTTCATTAGCTGTGGATCAAGGGTTCTCTTTTTCCCCTCAGAGTGATATTTCTACTTACAACGAAAGCCCAGTCGACGGTTCTCCTATGTACTTCGTAGCGCACACAGAGAGTGTTCTCGTTCCTGGATGTATGCAAATGAATTTAAATTTTGAACTTTTTTAAAATTCAGTTGCTCAAACTGTAACTATTCACGATGATCGAAATTTCAACGTGGTGTACCGATCGGATCTCACTGGTCGCTTCCAATGTTCCTATGAGCTTTACGCCGGAGAATTTGTTTGCAGTCAACAAAAAATGTACATTTGGAGTGTAACAAGCAGCTTCCAGTTACAAAATGAAATTTATATTCTTAGGTTGATGGTATCGATTCCAAAGGAGCTCCTTTCAGGAGATCAGGGCATTTCCCTTGTATAGGTTTGAATTAAAATCAGTTCATTCATAACAAAGAATTTTCAGATGTTCCTCCAACAACTCAAAAGCCAACTGAAATACCAATCATCGAAGAATGTTTCAACGACGGTCAGATATTAAGAAAAGGAACACCAAACGCATCGTGTTTCTGCACCGAGTTGTATACAGGAAGTCAATGCGAAAAAGTAAGAGCATGCTCTGTTTTAGAGAATTTCATGAGCTATTTCAGGCGAACTGCATGAATGGTGGTTATGCTGATCCCAGTGGTTTATCTTGCACTTGTGACCAAGGGTATTGGGGCGACAACTGCGAACATAGTATTTTGAATTTGATTTTCTATTTAAAAATTTTTTTTAGTGACTTGTGACCCTAACTTAGCACCTTTCCTGTTGGATAGGAGGTCATTGATTGTTGTGATAAGGAATACAGTTTCCATGAATCAGTATTATCCAGCAGTTCTCAATGCCATTAATTCGGCTGTAATATACACAAATGTTTTCTTCTGATGCTTGCTTTCTATTTCAGTATTTTGATGGATCAATCAGTGGAGACGTTGTTTATAGTAATTATGTTCTAGTAACTTACAGTAATGGCAGTAAGTTAACGCATTAACTACTGTTCAATGCTAAAATTTTCATAGAATATCGTGTATCTGATACTTCTCAATTTGATAACTTTATCAACAGTATCAAAAATCTCAAAACAAATGCGGATTCTTTCTCAAATTGCTCTGATGCAACATTTCAAGCGGTGTTCAGTGTTTTTGAACAAGTTTGCTCAATTTTTGAACCGCTTTAAAAGTTTCTTATGCAGGAAGTTTATGATCACTCACCTATTCTGTTGATAACTGACGCCTTAGCATCAGATTCGCAGGACTGGAAACTTGTTTCAGAAGCCAATTCAAGAAGAAAATTACCGGTGAGCTGAAAACAGATTATATAAAGAGAAAAAAATGTTTTCAGATCTTCACATTTGTAGTTCAACAAAACGGATGTCAGAAAGATGAAGTTGATTTAGGATATGTATCACTGAAGAGAGCTGCTGAATACAGCGGTGGTCTCTTTTTCTATCCTCCGGATGTAAACTCATTGCAAAACGTATGGTCTATTCAATCACGTAGTTCACAGATTCATTTAAGACTCTAAAAAATGCAATCATTGCATATACTCATCAAATGAATCAAATACTTGTGGATGATATGCTAAAATGCACAACGAGTGGCTACAGAACATTCTTGGTTGATGGATCTGCTGAAAGTGTTCAAATCATTACAACAGGCTGTGAGATCTTTCACTATACCAACGTTGAAGTTTTTATGTAGATAATGTTATCCTTCATGTGTGGGATCCATCTTGGAGTGAAGACAACCTTCGTCTCATATATAGCGATGGTTACGATTCTTTCTACGAGATCACAAATGTCCTTCCTGGAGAATATCTTATGACAGTATTGGGAGTGAACGTATTGAAAACTTTGCAAACGGTTTTCATTTTCATTAACCTTTTCAGAACAATAATGCTGCTTGTTCAGTTCGAGTAGTTAGTAGATCATCATATGATCTGTTTTTGGCTACAACCACCGATGAATTTATAGATGCTATAGATTCAGAGCCTGTTCTAGGTTAGATATTACTGTCATTGTGTGGAGTTTGAAGCCATTATAGGAAACAAAATGCATTTCGTTGCACAACTGAGTGGGCTCAATATAACTGATCCATTCCGACTTTTCGCTGAGCTTACTATAACAACAAATCTCAATAATGACAACAACAAATATCAAAAACCAATGTTTTATTCGAATGGTTTGATGTTTAACTAGAATCATTGTTTCATCCGATGATTATTTGCAGGAAAATGGCGTGATGGGTGTGGTTTCCAAATTTATTTTGGAGTTGCTGATTTCTGTGAATTCGCTGATCAACCGTTTTACGCTACAGTTCTGTGTTTCATTATTTAATCACACAAAAACGTTTTAAAGGTATATATTGACGATGTTAATGGTTTTGCTGTTCAACGTTCGACTGTCGGTTTCTGTTCTCTAAGTAAGGCGATTCTTGATGATTTTGTTGTTTTCATGATTGCGTTTTTAGCCCCGACCACTGTAACTCCACCCGGTGATTGCCAAAATGGAGGTGTATTTGTTAACGAAACATGTGTGTGTAGAGTTGGATTCGTAGGAGACTAGTAAGAATTCAGTTCTAACATTTGCAAGAGTCATTTACCTATTTAAGTTGCCAAAACATTATATGTCAGAATGGAGGCACACCTGCTGGTGGAGCTTGTATATGCGCTGTGGGTTCAGATGGAACATTCTGTGAAATGAGTTCGAAATTAAAATACTGGAACTGGTTTTTTGATTTTGTTTATTATAGATAGTTGTAGTACTGTCAATTTGGAGCCATCAAGAAGTACTGAAGGAAAATCAATGGTTTTTGTTGTATCAACAAGAACAACCATGGAAGTTAGTTCTGCGACATATTATAGCTGATTTCAATTGACATAGACTGTGTGGAAACAATTAGCAGCAAGTGTGGCTGAGTTTGTGAGAGACAGCCAGTACATATCAAATACCTGGATCACAAACTGGGTAATTATCACTGTGAATGAACAAGGTAGAATGTGTTGAAAGCTCGTACACTAATTTATGTATTTTTCAGAGGCACAGTTTTTAAGTACCTCAGAACGCCCACAAGATTTCATTTCCGCGATAGCAGGAGTCGCCAACAATTATTCTGCCTATACTATTAATGAAACCGTTAGCTTGTTTTTTCATTATTATTTTTCATATTACTTTTGTTAACAGAGTTGTTTGGTACAGCTAGAGGAAGCTATGTTCTTTGGTGTACTAGCCTCGACACCTGGGTCGGATGTCTACGTTTTTACCGACTCGGATGGTGTCGAAGATGATTCACTGTTTTACCAAACTTATTCAAACGCTATCAACTATCGTGTTTCCTTGAACGTTATTGCTTCTGGAAATATATGCTCAAAAAATACTAATAATGGAGATCTATCTCAAAACTTCAAGGACCTCGTATATGGAACTAATGGCTTTGTATACTATACTAGCCAAATTCAACAATTTTTGCCGTATCTTAACACGCAATACAGAACTCAAACAGTTGGAAAACTCGGAGGTTCAGATTGTACTGCTGGTTTCGTCGGTTACTTTGCGGTGGATAGTATGACAAACTCTCTCAGTGTCTGTACGTTTAAAAGAACAGAACATCCTTACATCTTGACAATTCTGTTCTAGCTGTTACCGGTGGTGACATTATTGATTATACTGTCGAAACACCTACTGGTCGTCAGATTCAATTAGAAGTTCCTCTCGTGAGCGATGATTTTCTTGATATAACAGTTTTGTTGCCTTGTGAGTTTCTTTGAAAAACTTCTATGCAATGAAAATTTTGTTTCAGCCTGTCCCGCTAATCCTTATCAATGGCAGTCAAACGCTCAAAGCTGTTACTTGTTTAGCATTGAGGACAAATCTTGGAACGACGCTTCTATTTTCTGTCATTCGTTCCAGGGATCTCTGTTTGATGTTTACAACCAGGATAAGGAGAATTTCATCGAATGTTTGTCACTATGATGTATTTATTTTATAACATCATCGTTTTAGCACGAGTAGGAAAGAGAGAAACATGGATTGGCCTGAGAAGACATAACACAACTTGGGTATGGGATGTTCCAGATGGAAACCATTATTCTACTATTGAGGTTTTGATACTTTTTATAGAGAGTATGTGAATATTACAAATTCTAGAACACGTACACCAAATGGTGTCCTGGTTATCCTACCGTAGGAGATAAAGCAGATTGCGTGACGCTCAGCACAGACAGCTGCTGGAAAAATACTGATTGCTCTTTAAAGAAAAAGTATATGTGTCAAACATTACGTTATGATCCAGATAGAGCAGGGGAAAGTGCGTTTTCTTTTATCCTAGTTCTTAATCAAGCAAACAAACTTTCTAGACACATTACCTCCCGGACGTTATAAAATAAATATCAAGAGTGCAGTTGGTGGTTGCTTCGCACAAGTTTCTGCACAGTCTCAATTGATGGTTTGGAAACATTTAAAAAATCACTCAGGGATGCATTTCAGCTCAATTATGGCTTTGTTCAAAATGCACAAAACGATTATCCGGATACTACTGGAAACGCTGGGTCGAGTAAGTTTTGAAAACCTTAGTTTGCAGTGATTGTGTTTTTCAGCCAACAATTACCTGATTGCCCATGTCGATGGCCTCCCACCATTCCTCAGTAACTATTCCTCAATGGAGAGTCGTTTAAATTATGCTTTCATTGGATTTGAGGGAAATTTAACAAACGGACTTTCTTTATCCCCGCGAACGTAAGTTCCGATTAAACAGCCTCACCATAAAGTGTCGTTACAGATATTGTGGATACGAGTACATAACAAGTCAACCATTCTCTTGTCCTAATGGTAATGGTGACTTTTTCGTTAAGTTCAGTGGTATTGACCAATTGGGGTATGCTTTTGAAAGATATACAGATGCTGGATGTCGTACAAATGGTAATATTATGGCTCAAACCTTCTATACACAGCTCATTTGAAGCCCTTACTTGTTTGAACAATGGTGTTCTGTACAATGGTGTTTGCATCTGTCCTCAATCATATACCGGAAGTAGATGTACTGTTCCTGTATGTCAAAACGGTGGAGTATTATCATCGAAAAATGTTTGTGTATGTCCTAAAGGATTTGGTGGCGGATTCTGCGAGAATGGTCTTTTTTTGTTGATTTTATTTCAAATAACCTGCTATTATAGCTTTGTGTGAACCACCATACCCTACGAATTTTAAAGACACAGGAAAAACTTTAGCTATTTTATTGGAAACTTCCTATAATATGGGTAGTACGATTTATCAGCTCAAAAAGAATCTCAAAGCATCCTTGGATAAATTGAAAAACGACCCAACTACTAGCTATTGGTTTAGTAATTACATTCTCTATCCGTTTGATTCAGGTGGTTATAGTCCTAATATGCTTAATTTTTGTGTTCAGTCAGCAATAAGCAAGACTGGTACCCGATTGTAAGCTCAACGAATAGTGATGATATAGTGAATGCTGTCAATAACATAACTCTGATGAAATGTCCCGGAAATGGATGCTCAAAGAGTATATCAAACGTTTCGAATTTTTGAAACACATTCTTTATAGGTTGTCCCAGACCAATAATGGGAGTTATTCAAGATACTATATCACGTGTCGAATTCCAAAATCCTAGTTCAGTAATTCTTGTAATAACAAGATCTTCTCCTGAAGACGTAGAGAAAGCCAGAGCGCTGGCTACACCATTGCAAGAATCACGCGCTCAAGTTAACTTCCTCTTAAGTGCGATTGATTCACCATGCGGTGAAGGATGGGACAGTCCAGGTGTCAAAGCTATGTATGCAGTTGATCAATACGCGGATGGAAACATATTTGTGGTACGTCATATCCTTTTTTTATTTCCAATTATCGTGTTCTACAGATGTCTCCAGTAGATTTGGCTGTGAACTTCTTCCAAAAGTATTTGCCAACACTTTTCAGCTCTGAAGGAATTGAATTCTATACAAGTGAACAATGTGACTCAGAAGAAATCATATTCCAAGTTATAATAATTTATCTTCAAATATTAATCATAATTAAATTGATAGGTTGACAGCGGCATGTCTGATTTCACCATAGACTATGTACTACCACAGATTACTCCTCCTCCTGTTGTCACTATTACTGACCCTAGCGGAAATGTCCTTGCTTTAGCTCAAAATATTATACAATCAAGTGATGTAAACTACTTGGGTATTTTCCCAGTTGATGCCTATGATATCGGTACATACCGACTACGAGTTACTGGGGTGCAAAACAACACTTGCATGATCAACATCCGTGCGCGTTCGCTCTACGAGGTGAGCGACAAATTGTTCTTTTCTAATATATTCATGAAACTTTAGATTTTCCCCGCGTATGTGAATGCTGATGCAGATAAGTTTGGTGGAGCTACTAGAGATGATGCTCATTACACTCCAGTTTACTGTTAGTTGATGATAGAGCGATAGAATAATATTTTGAGTTTAGATCAAAATTCAACCTTGGTTGTTCACGCCAACGGTTTTGATTATGGAACTATTCTGACATACGCTCAAGTATAACTTCATAACTCCATTCAAAAAATCTTAATAATGAATACAGATTGTTGAACCTGGTTATGGGTTAGTGTTTACATCTGCCCTCAAGAAACGTGATGACGGATGTAGTTACGAATGGTACTCTACTGCAACTTATCAGTGTACTCAGCCTGTAAGCTACTTCAATATTTTAAAAGTCATTGTGGATAATTCAGAGCTTGAAAACAATCATTTACGGATGGGATGCTCACGGCGTTTACTTCAGAAGAATCTTCAGAACAACTTGCGTTAACAATGTTCCGAAATTAAAACGTATTATTTTCGTTAAAAGGTTTAATTACCTTTCATATTTTAGCTCCACCAGCTCGATGTGATTTGTCTACCGCTGTGCAAGATACACTGTTTATTATCGATTCATCACTGTCGATTGGTTACAATAACTTTAAGTTGTTAACCCAGTTTGCGTCAAACGTAATGCAGCCTTACAAGCTATCTTCCACAAATACCCAGGTTTATAATACATGAAATTAAGAGAACACAAGCTTCCTTCATTAGGTCGGTTCAATAGTGGTTGCCTCTTCAGCTCAATCTGGTTTTAACTTCTCTTCTCTTGTGAGTCACGACGACCTTGACACAAATTTCAAGGGATTAGTCTATCTCAACACGACAGGAATGAACCTCACATCGTAAAAAAACTTCAAAATCTTTCACAAAAATTTTCTTTTTAGAGCTATTCAGCTTGCAACTGATCAGTTCACAACACCAAGTTCAGGATACAGAGCCAAAACCGCAAAACACTTGATCGTTTATCTGACAGCTACAGAGTAACAATTATCATTCTTCAATATTCCTTGAACGAATTTTAGGCCAACTGATAATGATCCACAACAGCCTATATACGGCCTAAGCGAGAGTGGAAGTTTCGGTTTTGCTACAATCGCATTCAATATGGTTAACCGGGTTAAGAATAATTGATTAAGATTTTTTTGAATTTCAGAACTCGAATAAACTGTTGAGTAGCATCATTGATGATGACTGTCTCTACTACTCACCGGATCGAAATGACCTTTATGTGTACGGAGTCAACTTCCTACAAGGATTGTCTTGCGCGTAAGTATTACTTATCGTTTCTCGAATAATAAACTATTTTCAGTCAAATCAAAACCTGTGGAATGTAAAATGAATTAACTTTTTCATAAAGTTATTTTCTGTTTTGCTAGAAATCAAACTCTTTTGAATTGAATGAAAATCCTTAAGCATAGAAATAAAGTAATATAATTATATTTTTTAAAGTTTCCTGGACAAGAACCCTCTCAAGCCAGCTTGGAGAGCACTTTTCAACTGTGCTTAACTATTCAACTTTTCAGAAAATTGATTTTATTCTGAGAATTTTACAAAAATATTATAAAACGTCAATATAGCTCTTAAAGTCAACAGCCGCATAGGCAGTTTAACATCTATTGTTTTTCTTGTTTAAGAAAATCATTTGCGTCAGTTGCTGCAGGGCACCACTTGCTATTATATAATTTCTGAATTTCAACTATATTTCTCAGTCTAGAAAATGTATACATTAACAGAGGATAGTTTCGATATGGTAAAAATAGAAATGCAGATATATTTCAAAATCACTTTAGGGATGTGACAGTATCAGCTCATCGTTACATGAGATCCCTATGGAGCTCGATTTAACTGCATCTGGTCCACCAATTTCAGATGACGAAACTGATATCGACACTCGAGAGAGAAAATATATAAAAGTATTACCCTCAATTGAGTTTTTAATAGTTTTTCGTAGTATGCTAAAAGAATTTTGCCACATGTTGGGTTGGTTTTACTGTTATTTGCTTATCTCATGATGGGCGCAACAATATTTCATGCAATTGAAGGACCGAATGAGCTAGTCGTATGTTCGAAAATAAAGAATAAAAAATAAGGATTTATAGCAACGAGATTTGGAACTTCGTACCATATTTGGATTGCGGGATGATTTCAAAGAACACATCTGGAACATCACGCAGGTACAATATCTTTTATTTTCACAATTCTTTCAATTATTTTTTCAGGATATTGACAATAGAATATCAAAAGAGGCGTTCAACTCCATAAATCATGAATACTTTGAAAATTTGGTCAAAAATATATTCGTTTCTTATCGCAATCAGTTTATAAATGAAGATCATCTTTTAAATAGAACCAAAGGAGATGGATTACTATGGACATTCCCTAATAGCATATTTTTTGCCACAACTGTCATTACTACTATAGGTATATTGAATAGATTGTAGGTTCTCACATTTATACTGTCAATTTGAATAGGTTACGGTAACTTGGTTCCAACAACTACACCGGGTAGAATAGCTTGTATCATATTTGCTCTATTCGGAATACCCTTACTTTTGGTCACTATAGCGGACATTGGCAAATTTCTCTCAGAATTTTTAAGCTTTCTGTATAGATTTTATCGATCGTTCAAGCGAAAGGTTTAGCTTTAATATTTCTTCTCTGAAAATTATAAATGCAAAGAGAATTTCAAAATGCAAAGTATTAGTTTCATATCACTACTTTCAAATAAGTAATATCGTTTTGAATGCATCGTATCATCAATTTTTGAGCCTGTCACGAACAGAAGAATATTTCTCTTCAGATATCTGCAAAGCTAAGCGATCATTCCAAGTTGTTGAAGCATCAGAGAAACGGAATGAGAAGCCAAGAAAGTGAAATAGGATCAAAAGTAATATATTATAAGTACTTGTAAACACAATAGTATTTTGGGCCGGCTCCATCAATCTGGATGATATGGACGACACAGATTCCGAATCAAGTGATGAGGATGAATTACGAATACCTGTCTTCATGGTATTATTTGCTATTTTAGCATATACAGCTATTGGAGGATTTTTGTTCAAAGTAAGTTGTGAAACTTGAGTTGTTAACAATAAATATATTGAGGAGTGGGAAGATTTGCAATACTTCGAGGCTTTCTATTTCTGTTTCATAACTATGGCTACTGTAGGTCAGTACAAATACCTCTAACAGTTTTAAGTTTTTATTATCATCAAGGTTTTGGTGATATTGTCCCTACAGAGCAAGTGTATATGTTTTTCACTATGGCTTATATAATATTTGGTTTATCATTGTAAGTTAATGCTGCTCTAAGTTAACTATATTATTGTTTAGAGCGACTATGTGTATCGATTTGGCTGGAACAGAATATATTCGCAAAATTCATTACCTGGGAAGCAAAATGGAAGATGCAAAAGGAGCGGTCATGACGTAAACTATCCATAAATTCGCGAAAAATAAGTTTCTTCTTACACAGTGGTTTGCAAGTGGGAGAACATATCTTGAAACATACTGGCATTGAAGTGATCAAAACTGCTAGTGGAAAACTCGTACAAGGTGAGTTATCTACAGTAAATACTTATAATTGTTTATTTTCGTGCGGGGAGCTGTTCTGAATTCGAAACAAGCTAGAGAATTAGGAGTGGAATACATACTCGCGGATCTTCAATATCAACAGAAAAACATATTATATGAACCATTAAGCCCGAATGTAGCTAAATTGGTTAAAGAAAACAATATAAAGGTAAAGCATTGACATGAAACTGTGTATGATGTATGAAGTGGTTTTTCCAGGTTTTACCCGATGATATAACTGAGAAAGATGGATATATTGTACAAAACAAAAGTTATGACCGTCCAACATTTAATGATCAATCATACATAAAAATTCATAAAAATGTGATAAGTAGGATTATGGTTCCTAGAGCGGATCGGAAATCTGTCATTATTCCTTGTTTTGTAATCAAAGAATCTGATTTATGAATCAATACCAAAAATTGAAATCTTATTGTAAACTATCCAAGCTATCACTGAAGATTTCGGATAATTCTAAATTATGTTGCGTTTTTCTGAAAAAATAAATAATCAAGAATTATTACGTTAATTTTTCTAACGTACAGGACGCTTTCAGACACCTGTTGCAAGAACCAGGGATCGATTTTCAAGCAATCCAGATGAGTACACGACTTGATCTTTTTAAGTTTACATTTACAGGATGATACAGTCCAGACTTGACTTACAATAGCCAGAAACAGATCTGTTACCATTATTCAAGGCAAGATCACGAAAAATGTAGTTCTGTTAGCTGTTTCTTTTCTTTTCAGTTTTACGGTCTTCAAATGATAATAAATGCATAGCTGTCCTATCATATGAAAAATTCGACAACGCGATCGTCCTTGTATTCATTAATAGTTAAGAAGGGGGAGGAGTCGTTTTCAACCAAGTACTTCTGACATATTCTAGATTTCCCTCTCATTCGAAGCTGCAGCATGGAAGTTCAAAACCCTTTTCAAGTCAATTGGGATAAATTGAACATATCCAATTTCACTGATTTTTTTTTCTCCAAAATTGCAGTTCATGGCAGCCATTTGGCTATGGTTGGTTTCTTTCATGAATTAAAATGCTTAACAAATAATAAAGGTTGACATCGACACTGGAAAACAGTGGAGGTATTCTGAGATACGAGGATGGTGCGAAATGTGCGCTACGCGTTTGAGAGAAATTCAAGTCTTGAATGCTGTTTTTATCTTAATTTTCTTTTTATTCAGGTTGTTAATAGCAGTAAAGTTGCTATAATCGCTGGGACCACAGGTGCACTAACATTCAGTTTAATTTCAAATCAAATAATTGTAGGTCAAACTTTGTTTGTTCAATTGGCCTGTTCACTCATTGGGTGTTTAGGGGTAACAATTAATGGCTTTTCTAATGTAGGTAAGATGTTAACATTTGAAACTATGCATAGACGAGAACAATTATTAAGACGATATCTGGCACCTCGTCGATTTGAGTGAATCGACCCATCTTATAGTTGAAGCTCAATTCTTACAAAAGGTAAACATTGAAAAAAGTTTACTAGAGCTTATTATCATAATCAAAGGCTGAAGACGTGCGACGCAAAGCTCAAATGAGAACAGGTGGAAGAATCAAGCATATTCGAATTCTTGATGAGGTATTATCATCTGAAACTCTTCTCCCTGAGAACAGAAAGTATAAAAGCATATGTTATATTTTAAATAATCTGACAAGTTTTCAGACCTAATATCAAAAAAGAACAATCGACTCACTCGCTCCTGTAAGAATATCATTTCAAATTCAACTTATTCTATCGTTACAGAATAAATAACGAGAATGAAGAAAAGCTGGCCGCTGTTGCAATTTCGAATCAAAAAGTTTTCATATTTACAAAATTCATTTACTACTCTGAGTAATAGGAAAATGACAATGAATCTGGAGACTTTAATTCGGATGGAGCACTAGAATCAGACAGCCTCGAATCTTCACACAAGACGTTTTTAATCTTTTTCACAAGTGGCACAACCAGTATGCCAAAAGTAATATCTGAGAGAATTTTAAAAATCTACAACTACTTTTCAGCCATGCGAAGTTACACATAAATCTGTAATCATCAACATTCAACAAATGAGTTTTCCGTTGTACGGTCCAACACAACCAAAAGAACGATTTCTCCTTCCATTAGCTCTTTCCCATATATTTGGAACATTGTCAGCTTACTATGCGCTTATTAATGGATCAGTTGTTTACATGTTATCGAAAGTAACTCCAAAACAGTTGGTTGATGTTTTCATAAATCAACAGGTCTTGTTGAATGTGTTTCTCATGGTTATTCATTATTTCTAGATCAATGTTGCTCATATCACAACAGCCATGGTTCACTGGCTGTCGAACGAAGAGATAGTCAAAAATTATCAATTTTCTACTTTACGTAGTTTGATTGTGGGTGGCGCTCCTGTTGATAGTAACAGACTTCAGAGAGTGAAAGAGAAACTTCAGTTGAAAGACTTAAGACAAAGTAATTTGGGTTTTGATACTCTGTGTAGTGTACATGAATTAAGCATATGGAATGACAGAGCTTGGTGGTTTGTGTACTCTTTTGCCTTATGAAGCCGATAGTTTGACTAGTGTAGGCCAACCTCTCCCTGGAATGTTAATGAAAGTAAGCATTTTCGATGAATTGAGGATTAATTATGACCTTAGATTGTTAACTGGGAAACGAAAACTATATGTCAGCCTCGTAAACCGGGGCAATTGTTGGTCATTGGACCTCAAGTTTCACCGTCTTACTTTAAGAATCAAAAAGCAACTAGTGAGCTATTGGAAAGCAATGGATATGTGAGAACCGGTATTTCTGAGAATAATGGAAAATATAAATACATCCTCATTCCAGGTGATGCTGCTTATTACGATGAAACAGGGAAAATTTTCATTATGGATAGAATCAAAGATATAATCAAATATAAAGGAACACTTATCTGTCCTTCAGAAGTAGAACAAATTTTACGAGCTCATCCAGCTATAGATGACTGTGCGGTGGTTGGACGACAGGACCATGTTTCAGGAGAGGTTCGAAACATATAAAGTGCTTCGAGAATTGGCAACAACTTTAGGTTCCTGCAGCTTTTGTTGTGAGGAATGCAAATTTTCCGCAACTTTCTTCTGCTGAAGTTCGACAGTATGTATCCGGCAAAATAGCTACATTCAAGGAATTACGAGGAGGCGTTTTCTTCATTCCGGACATTCCCAGAAGTGTATGTGGTAAACTGATTCGGAAGCAGTTACGCCAATTTTGGGATCGGGAGAGAAACAACAAAGTAAAAGAACTTGAATTTTGAATATGAACTCTAACTTTAATTTAGGAAAAAGAGACTGTAAAAACTAAACCAAAGGAAAAATTGAAAAAATAACTCAGATACGATAAATAGGAAATCGTGCTTCTTTCAACATTTGACATGTTCTATGTTGAATCGCCTATTCATTTGAATTAAACAAAACGCTCGTTCTGTAGTATAATACAAGGCTTTTCGAGAAATTTACGGCTTAGTTTAATCCTACATGAATTGTTTGCTAGAAAATAAAGAGAATAGCTTTGTTATTATTATGTTGAAAAGCAATATGTTGATTTATTTCAATTCTAAACTAGCAATCGTGATAAAATATAAAATAATATCTAAAAGTCGAGATGATAAGATGATATTCATAAATCAGAAGAGGAATATATCTTATCCAATCTATTTCTGTTTCGGATTATATTCAAGACATTTAATTTTTTTATTTTGTAAAAAATATTTCCATAGCCATGTATCTAGCTATTCTTGACAATGCAGGATGTCGAACTTTTCCTTTCCTCTTATTGAATATACATGAGAAGAAAATGATTGCAATATATAAAGAGAAAAATCAATAGTAAACAACTTGCAGTTTCCGTTCAAATCTTTAAGATAATCTATTGATGAGCTGCTTTTGGCGCGCAATTTCGATAGAGCACATTTTCTAGTCAACAGTGATATGTTTACGTTTTAATGTAAAGATGTAGAGTCTTATTGGATATGTAGTTTTGCATTTCCTGAAGAAGCTTCTCTCATTTTCTTTCATTTATCTCATCATTTTTCTCAGTGTATCTTCTCATTTCTATTGCGTTCTGACATCAGTCTTCCATCCCTTTTTCTGTTCACTATCTCTTTTCTTTAACGCTCAACGTTGTAACATTTCTCTTTTGTTTCAAATTTATTCCAGTTTCATATGTTCATAGATTTTCATCACTTAAGATGTGTATTACATAATATATAAAAGCTTAATGAAAAAAAAAATTTATGTGTTGTGTTTATCAGTATAGCAGTTATGAAGTTGCCTAGATAGTTTCTGATTATTTTGAATAGTTTTGCAAAAGTATTTCTTTGATTCATTTGACCTGGTTATCATTGATATCAGACGTTCTTTATATCAAGATAACATGTAGTTAAAGATTGATTCCATCGTTTTCTGTCCAACTAACAGAAAAACATTTTTCGTTCCCTTTGGTTGAACCCTAAACGCTTATATAAATCTGTTTTCAGTTGTTTGTTCACGAGCAATTACTAAAAACGACATTTTTTGGTTTCATTAGTCCATAGAAAGTGAAACAAAAAGTTTCATCAGAAGAGATGAGAAGGATGAAAAAAATTTTATTTTTTTGTCTCATTTTGTTCATTTTCATTCATTTTTACAAACAAATAGGAAATCGGCCTTCACTCGAGCGATCAATCCACACTTTCTATAAATTCAGCCCCGTAAAATATATAAAGTACAGCAGCCTCAGTTGAACGTTACATTCAATCAATAAAGAAACGGGTTCTGTTTGCTAGAAATTCTTATGATCACACTTCAAATGTTTTTAATGCGGCCGATTGGTTGTTATGAGAAATGTGTTCAGGAATAACTATCATTCTTTCTCTTCTTTATTCTTATTCGGTTGTAAGCTCTTCAATATCCATTGTTAATGTCTCATCACTACACCGAAAAGTGAAAGAAAATGAATGAAATGAAGAACATTAGAAACAAGAATTCTTTTTTTTTCTTCTTCTTCTTCTTTCTTACAACAAAAATTGAAAGTGCTCATCGATTGCATAGGAACATGTTGAAAGAAAAGGAATTCGTACTCATTTAATCTTTCTATTGTGAGAAGGCCAACAACTAATTTGAATAAGATAATTTGATAGAAAGATATTTATAGCTAATAATAGCTGCCATTGGCTCGATTCTATTATATTATTTTTGAAGAAACAATCGTTCGCTTTGCATCTCTGTCTGCACTCCTTCCAACATTCAACTTATTATAAATTCTGAACAGTAGCTCTCTCTCTCTTCTCTCGTTTTCGCTAGAATTGCCCTAAGGAAAAATTTCCATTAACTACGAGCATACTCAATTTTCTGAGGGTAATTTTTCGAGTCGTATAGATTTGTGTTAGAAAAGAAGTGGAGATGAGAGTTGAATAAGAGTGAGAGAGAGAGTGTGTAACTCCTTTTCATTATAAGCCGTTTCTATCTTACTCCTCATGCACTATACGCCGATTTCAATATTAATTATCTCTCATGCGGCTCTTTATTAAATATACTCAATTTGATTTTTTTTCATTTGAATATAGTTTTTTCTCTATGTGGCATGTATTGATTCCAAGTTGGTTCGTAGCTTCTATAGATTTTCTGTTCTCCTTTTTCTGCAACATTCCGTCAACACATTTTTTTGTTCTCCCTTTTGAGGCAACGAGAAGAAGAACAGATAAGAGGAAAGGAGTGAGAGAATGGTTTTTTTAATAGAATTTATAGTGTTTCTGCTTCATATTAACCAGAGAACAAACTAATCCGTTTTGTTTGATGACTGCTGTTTGGCTTAGTGCATTTTGGCAAACAAACTGTTTCACATGAGTGGATTCGTCTCTCAGAACGCAAACTATGAGCAAATGTTAATCGATACACTGTGTTAGACCATAACAATCTGTTTTTTTTCTATATTCAAGTTGCTATATTAAATATCTACGCACTCTTTCTCATTTAGTTTCTTGTTGTTGTTATAATCTTATATATATATATATATAGTATATAGTATTTGATAATATATTTCAGAGAAAGAAGACAGAATATCATCAGAAATTTCAACTATATATGCATAATTAACAATATTGTCTATCTTTAGGAAAACAGGGAAATATAAACTGATATATATATATATATATATAAGATATGTGTAAGTTAACTATTTTATATAGTTTATAATTAAGATATATGTTATTACAGATGTGATCACATAGATTAAGAGATGCCAAACAACAGTTAGTTTTCAATATTCTCATTATTATTTTTAAATTGAAAAAAATGAATGAAAACGACTTTTTTTGCTATCAAATTGGTTGAGATGAAAGAAAGGAACAATTGAATATAATTAATTAGCATAAAGAAATGAGTAAAACATTTTCAATTAGAAAAAATGAGGAAGAAAAGTGTTATAGAGAGTACAAGTGCCAGATAGTGTGAGGTATGAGACTGCGATAACAAGGCTGTATGGTAATCGTGATGATCTTGAAAAATATATAAGAAAGGTGCAACAGTAGTAAATCAATTTATTCTCGTTTGTGTAAACACTAATTGATTTCATTCAAGATCATTTGAATGAAAAAAAATTTTTTCTCATTCCTTCTGAATAATGAAGAGAAAAAGTGAGAGAATAGTCGTCAGAATTGAGAACGATGTCAGCAGCGAGAATAACATGAAGAAAGCAATGGTTAACACACTCTTTACTTTATGATTTTCAAATTCAGTAGTAGATTTTTTTTGTTTTTCTGTTTACATCCTTGTATTTTCTGAAGATCTGTCTTTCCATTTCTTCTTCTCTTCCTCTCGTATGCTTAACTCTCTCTCTCTCTCTCTCTCTCTCTCTCTCTACTTCTTTTTTTGCTTTTATTTTTTGTTTTTTTTTTACTCGCCTCTTTTCTATCAATCTGCGAGTCTTCGTTCATGAGCACAGCTATAATTCCAAACACAAATATGCTTGGCAGATTCTTTTTTTTATTATTATCTGTCTTCCACTCTTTCATCTTCATTATATGACAAGCCTCAAATCTTCTGTAAGAAGAATTTCATTAAGAATCCTCTTTAACTCTTCAAGAGAAAATGGGAAATGCATTTTATTTGTTGTGTTCAATGATTATGATTGTTACGGCAAAAGTTAAAATTGGTTTTCAAATTCTCTCTCTCTCTCTCTCTCTCACTCTCACCTTATTATATTACTTTTCATTTTTAGATGAAATGAATGAAAGTAAAAGAAATTTTGTTTTCTTTGCCAATCAGATGGATGCAATCATTCAATTGTTTATCATTTTTTGCTTCATCCGCCTTTGTTAATGACAGTTGTTCTGAGTGTTCAAACGTTATTTTCTCTTTTTTCTAACCATAAGTAATTAAATTCACACTCTAAAAGTTTTTTTTCCGGTTTTGAGTGTCCGTTTGAAACGACCCGGAATGAGAATCAATAGTGAAAATATATAGCATGAGCATTCTAACGATGGCTGTGTGTGGACCACTGCTGTTAGGCTTAACGGGAGAGACGAGAAGACAACGTCGATAGCAGAAACCCCGCCCAGTCTGCTGCCATTAGTTTCCCCTTCTTTTTATACGCTTGCTTTTTATTCTTTTATTCTTGTGTTGGTCCCTCTTTCAAGAATGTCTTTCGAGCAAAGTAATAAAAAGACACATGCAAATAAGGTTAACATAAGTTTTTTCCATGATTTATCGGAGAAAAGGCGGCAGAAGCTATTATTTTCTGTCTTCTTTCGCCTTTCAGATCTTCCCTGTGTATTTTCTGGCTTCTATTTTGTTCGTAACTGAGTCTAATACACACACACGCACACATACATGTATATATATATATATATATATATATATATTTATATATATACATATAATATATAAATACTCATAAATATATAGATGATGTATCTTTCTGTCCTTAAGAATGAAAACGAATTGTCCTTTCTCACTTTCATCTTTAAATCCAGAGTTTGACTGACTGAATTGAGTAGAAAAAGAAGGATCGAAACACGTGGAAGCAATGATCCTTTCGCCAGCATCTATGGTATTGTATCACAACGATATGATACCCAAAGCTAAAAGTTTGTTTTTTCGATTGAAGTGTTTGAGCCTGTTCTCTCAAAAACTACATCACATGATGATTGCATACATGGGAATCGATTGATATTATTTATTTTGGTTTACCTAGTGAGGACTCCATGCGAAGATAACTTCTTTTTCGATCTAAAACTTGATTGTGAAAACAGTCGGAATAGTAGTTCCGAAGTTTTCGTGATATGGAACTGTATCAATGAAAAACAAATGAAAACAGCATGAAAATATTTTGAAATTTCTATTTTATATGTTTGATACTCATAGAGAGGAGAGAAAATAGATGAAAATGGCAGTGAAATCAATTGAATTTTACAAAATTTTGATAAGATTGAAGTGTGAACATGATAATCCATTCAAGAAATATTCCATAATTGGTCAACATATCTCATTCTCATTCATTTCAGAAAGAGAAAAAATACCTGACGGAACGTTGTGCGTTGTATGCCAAGACTTAGCTAGTGGAATACATTATTCCGTTCCAAGCTGTAATGGCTGTAAAACATTTTTTCGTCGAGCTCTAGTTGTAAGTTGTTTATTTACATCTAATTCATTTTAATTATAACATTTGCTGAACTTGAAAATTATTTCAAGTTTTTTCATCACTTTTTATTTCTCTCGTTTTTATCTATCACAACTGGTTTCACTTTCATTCTCGAGTAGTATATATCTATATATCTTTCTCTCTCTTTTTTTTCTCTTTCCCTCTCTCTCTGTCTCTCCCTTGTTCTCGGGTTCTTTATCTGTTTTATATAGCTTTTCAAACTATTTTTTGTTGTTCCTACTCTGTTTTTGTCGTCGTCACTGGTTAGAAGCAAACTATGTTTATGTCTTTCCGATATACTGAATTTTGTTTTTGTGTAGCTATTCGTACGTCTTTATTTTTTGTTTATGCCCAAACGAAAAGCAACAAAAAATAGAGAAAAGATGGAAAAGGGGGACGAGAATATATATATGTATATATATATATTATATAATATATATATATATATATATATGTTATCTCATTCTCTCTCTCTCTCTATACCTCTCTCTCTCTCTCTCTCCTATACTCTCCTCCTATCTCTTACACTCTATTTCTTTCCCTCTCCCCTTTTTTTCTAAAATTTCTTATATAGCAATGAAAATACTATTTTATTATTTCAGAACAAACAAACCTTCACTTGCCAATTTGCAGGAGACTGTGTAGTCGGTAAATGTGAGTAATTAACTGAACTATTGTTACTACAATCATTAAACTGACCACTAAATTATTTGTTTTAGCTGTACGATGTGTGTGTCGCAGTTGCAGACTGAAGAAATGCTTCCGTATGGGCATGGATCCGAATGGTAAAATTTATTCATTTTTATCTTTTCTTCAATGTTAAAGCTTGGGTTGAGATAAATCAGAGTTTTCAGTGGAAAAGACGATTTGCCATTAATTTCTTTTTCAGCAATTCAACATGATCGTGATAAGATAAGGTATACGAAAGCCCTCAAGAAAAAAAGAGATGAAGAACAAAAAAATCGTGAGAGAGATAGCCAAGTGAAAGAGGAAGTATGCAGTCCACTCAGTCAAATGTACGTTACATGCTTATCATATCATATGTTTATGCCATTGTTTCAGGTCAGATCAGTATATCAATACATCAACACCATCTTCCAGCAATGTTCAAGCGGCTGACATGGAATACTATGAATCTGATAATCTCAATCAGCGGGTAAGTTATCTATAATCGATAACGTTGAACATAATTGTTTTCAGATCAATTTACAAGAAACAAAAACATTAGTTGATGATTTACTTTTATTGGAAATGAAAATGTTGCAAATCCGAAGTGCTTGTAGATTTGAACCGCATACATCCGCGACAAGCTGTATGTATAATAAGTGCGTTTTTAGTTACTCTCTTTATATTGTTATTCTTCATTAACATAATATAATTACAATATAATTGAGCTTATAGATGTCTGTTTAACGATTTTGTGTGGATGCAGGAGAATACCAACCCTGTCATGAATGTAAGCTAATTTCATGGATTTCATTAGAAAACAAGCATTCTTCTTCATTTAAAGAATATTGTTGCCATTCCAACACCTTGTACAATAGAATCGTTACGGATGTGGTTTGTGCGGGATTTATCACTCATGATGGAATGGTGCAAATGTCTACCAATAATGGACCGACTTCTGCTCAATGACAAGGTAAACCTTTTTTTATCTTTAATTCTTTGCATCGTATCCTCAATCATTAGAAATGTTTAACATGCTCGTGAAGAAATTGATTTTTTGCATTTTCAGCTGGCGTTGATGAAGGCATTTGCACCTGTTTTTCCTCTCCTTCAATTGGCTTACTATACGAATGATAATGCTGTAATCGAGAGTGCGTTTGAATATGAAAATTTTGACATTTAAATGTTATTTATAGCAGCACCCACTGAATCGAATGAATCTCTAGTTTTCACAACCCGATTGAATTATCCAGATGGTTCTTTCATAGAAAAGGAAAGTAACATAAATAATACGTGAGTAGTACTATCTTAAACTTTTTTTTGAGTACTGCATGGTTTTCATGCATTACTTTCTGTTTATTCTATTGATAAATGATGTTTGAATGTAGGGAAGAAATGTATTCGATGTTGATGGAAGGCTGTCACAAGCTTTTGAGACGATTGGATATCCAGCAGCGTCATCTAGTTCTTTATAAAATGCTTCTACTACATAATCCGGGTAATTTATCAACGAAGCATTGTTCTGAATGATAATTTTTGTTAATTGTTTCAGATGCTGAAGGCTTGTCATCAACAGGAAAAGCTGCAATCGAAAGCGAGCGTGGCAAGCTTTTAGCGCAGTTATATTTGTTTCTAAGCAGTGAAAGAGGGAAAGGAGCAGCTCTCCTCTTCTCCAACTTACTGATGATGACAGCTACTCTCAACGTGAGTAGTTTATAATTTATAGTTTTATGCAGCTTTCATGTTTCTATTTACAGCGGGTCGCCTCTTTTGTTCGGCGTGTATTTGATATCAATCATATTTTCAATAGAACCAACGATTTGATAGATCAGTTGATTATAGTTGGTTTGTGACAGCTTTAATTATGAGTATATATATTCATTGGTTTTACAAAATTCTTTCCGCTGGTCTTTCGTTTCCCACCTTCTTGTTTATTACTCTTTATATATTATATGTTGTGGAAACCATCGGAACATATCGCGTTAGTCAGTTATATAGTTTTGTTTTGTTTTCAAAAAGGGTGCTCTGAATGTTTCGTCTGAAAGTAAAGTAGTCGATAGAGTATGATAAGTGATAACTAAGTTAAATAGAGCTATTATCTCATTTTAATATAACCAAATTTAATTTTACGAGAAACCAAAAAAGACATCACATGTCATTTTAAAATCAAACCCACCCCCCCTATAGTGAGAGATTAGAAAGATTTTGATGGAAATGATACCATATAGTGTCTTGAATATATTCTGCGGGTTCGAAAGTGGTTGTTTTCCAATTGTAGTACCGTTATGAAGAAATCTTCAATTATTACCCCTTTGCATAAACAGCGTTCTCTTCATTCTGTCTCACTATGTAATTGTCAAAATGTAGAAAAGATATATCTGAGTATGTAATATAATATTGTTTTCTCGAACCCTCACTACAAAGATCTCAATTCGATGCCAGAAATTATTTCCCCGTGTTTGCCTTTCACCTGCAAATTTTCTTCTGAAACAATTCATAATATGTTGTACACGAATAAAGAAGATTGAAAGAAATTTATTCATATAAATATGATAATAAGAACATTATATATACACGGTATATACAAAAATTTAAATAGTTTAGCCTTCCTTATGCTTCTTCAGCTTCTCGATACTTTCGTAGCTTCATCTTCGAAGTCATGGCCTTTTCTCCATGAGTCTCAAACAAAACTTATATGTTTATATTAGCCGCTGTTTCAAACCTGCAACTTGTTTCATCACATGTACGGGATCCAAATGCGCTACTTCAAAAATGTGGTTGAAATCCAGCGGTCGAAATTGTCAAGAAAATGCGCTGGAACGGTGAATAAAAATAATACTAAATAAATGGTGAAGCTGGATAAACTATGAGGATCTGCTTTGCAAGCTCTTTCAAGAGTCTATAATTATTTTATAAGTTGAGTAACTTCCGCTCTAAACGAAAACGATTCCTACATCCATCGTTTGTTCACTATGTGATTATATAAAATCACATAAAATTTTTAGAGGCACAATTTTTATCGATTCAGTTTTACAATTTACAAGAAATATATTCGATATTTCTGTGTATTTCTGCCAAGTAATTGGTAAAATTTCGGCTCTTTTTATAAAAGATTCCATTCTTGCGGAAGAGCTGTTTCTGTTGGAATATGGATTCGTTCGCGACTAATATCATCGATTCGAGTTGCCATGATTCAAGGCATTAACGTGCGACCCGCTGCCTTTCCGCCCTGTTTTCGCCTGCCAAATTTTTTTCTGCCTTTTCATAATTGTCGCCAACCTTAATGAAAATAACAGAACTAATAAAAAGTAATTTTAAATATACCTTGAAATCGATGATGCTTAATTTCCCGTTGTCATAAATTCCGTAATTTGCCGAGTGCAAGTCCTTCAATACAAGTATTCTACGAATCAGCTCCTCAGCTCATCAGCTATAATCCAAGTATCGAGTAATGGATATTTGGCACGAAATGAACTTTTGGCTCAAGCTTGATCAATTCGAGCAATTTGTAGGCGAAAATTTCACGCAGATCCGCGTTTTGAATATATGGATACACGGCCAAACCGATGTGCACCTTCACGTAGAACCTGCCGAAGACGTACCCCTCACTTGCATCATTCGCGATGACACCACCCTAAAACACATTGTTCATTCTCGTGAAAAAAACCTACTTGATCAATTAATTACACTTTTTTGAATTCCACCTCTAGTTTTTTTTTCGAAATTAACTACGATGATCGGGTTCTCGGCATTGTCACCAAAAAACTTCGAGAAATATTCTTCTACCGCAAACTCGATTTGTTTGTCGTCGGAGCCCAGGTAGTCGGCAAAGTCACTATAGAAAGAACGCAGCTCTGGGCCGAATCCTGGATATGATGTCAAGAAATCAGCTGATGCTAACAATTTGAGATGTGCAAGAGCCGCTTCGACGGAGCAAATAAGAAGTCCCATGTTGTCAACGGATTTTGCTTGTAGCGCTTCTTCTGCATAAGCAGTCATCTCCACCCAGTTAGGCAATTTAGCGTGCTTCTGAAATTATTCACATTGAAGTTTATTCTAATACAATTTTGGCTCACTAGTAATGCTAAAAAAATAAAAATTGGAAAACTTACCACGACTACTTTACAACGATGCTTCAGTCCCAAAGACTGAAGGCTATCTTCGCCGAGTCCATTAAGTCTTTGCCTATTATCAAAAAACAATTTTTGAATCATCATGAAGCCGATAGTTTGACTAGTGTATCATAGAAAATTATAGAGGAGGAGGTAGACCTCCACTACAGCCAATTTTGAGCAACGCTCCGTATGAGGTCTTGGGTATGGATCTCGTTGAGCTCCCTCAGACCAAGACAGGTTATAAATATGGTTTAGTAGTGGTAGATTACTTCTCAAAGTGGGCCAGCTTGTATCCGTTGAAGAATAAACAAGCAGAAAGGGTGTGGTCAAATTTCTGTGAAATATGGTTGGGTTACGAAAGCCGGGGAGCTAAAGTTATTATCTCGGATAACGGATCAGAGTTCGATAATAAAAGGGATAAAGTTGAGCTTTGGTAAGTCTTATAACCCGAGAGAAAATGGATTAGCAGAAAGGACCCATAAAACGCTCATTTCTATGCTAAGGAAAAGTGAATGTGTGAGAAGTTAGTGGGATGTACGTGTACCATGGATATTGAGAAGTTAATACTTAACTGGTAAACATACCGACCATCTTTAAGTTATGCGAAGAATAAAGAAGATTGAAAGAAATTTATTCATAAATATGATAATAAGAACATTATATATACAAATATAAAGAATTTAAATAGTTCAGCCTTCCTTATGCTTCTTCAGCTTCTCGATACTTTCGTAGCTTCATCTTTGAAGTCGAATAAAGATGCTAGCATTGTTATGAGGGAATTCGAGTTTGTTTCCATTGCAGAGCACTCGTTCCCAGATCTGTAGAATGACAGCTCACTTAATTATTCAAATCTTCTTTACCGGAATAGACCAACGCAGCAGCCTCTCCACAGAATATGGAATTCACCATTATTGATGAGGAAATTAGTTCCCGAAGGACAAACTTTGAAATTACATGGCCTTTTCTCCATGAGTCTCAAACAAAACTTGTATGCTCAAATTAGCCGCTGTTTCAAACCTGCAATTTGTTCCATCACATGTACGGGATCGTTTGCGGTGTCCGCACCCTCCACATTCCTGATTGCACGTGTTCTCCCAATCAGACCATTCGCTGCATTCGCATTCTGTAACTTATTTCATGTTTTCGACCTTGAAAAACGAATTCAACCTTCAGATTTAAGAATTCCGGAAGGCTCTGTAACATTTTGCTTGGGAATCGGAGTTGTAGAAGTGAAACTGTTGGAAATGGTAAAAATATTTCTGGATATATATATTTCAAGAAATACTTCTCATAAATCTGTTTAGTTGTAGTGAGGAAAGAAAAGGGAACAGTGAACGGAAGAACTTCCTTCGTGATCTTATGGGGACGACTTCCTTTACTAGGGCTCACCTATAAAAAATGTGTATACGATAGTGTTTGAAAACTTACTCTAAAATTGATGGGAAACTCGGTAGACAAGGTAGAAGATACTGTTGGTCTTGGGGTAAAGGGAGTAGTTCTCTCTGATGTTGTCGTAGTTGATTGAGTAGTAGTTAACTGTTCTACTTCATCCTGATGAAGAAAAAAGGTTTTGAGGACAAGAAAAAACAATGGTTACGTTTCCATTCGACCAAAATTGGGCTGAGAATATTCCAGAATTTCGTTCATAACCTCGAAGTAAAATTATCATTTCATTGTTGGTGGAGCTGAAAACTGTTTGAGGTAGCCTGGCACAGCAAAATCTGTAATACTACTAGTATGCAAAGAAGAACTGAAAAGAGATATTAGGATCTCAACCTGGCGCCTGTTAATCGTTTGTCAGAGTGGTACTTAACTTCCACAAATGATCGATCGCATGTTGTGTCGCAGCGAAAGTCGAAAACATTTTCGAATTTGAAGAATACACTGCCTAAGTACAAACACAAAGTTATGAAAGTATTGATTGATTACCATTTGAAGCAACAATTCTCCATATGCATTCCACGTTTTCAGTTGGATACTCAGGATAGTCAGGACTCTGAATATATTGAGGCACTTTCCGAGCATATATTGTTCCTCCACAGTGGTAGTTGGATTGCTTCGTTTCTTCACAGTACTTTCCGGAGAATCCCACTGGACAGAGACATTCCGAACAGTTTCTAGGATTAACATATCCATTTTGCTGGCAATTAAGAGGAGGACAGCGAGAAGAACAGCCATACGCAGCATTTATCTGAATTTTCAAAATATTCTCAATTTGTAGAAATACGATGTGTCTCACAGCTGCAAAGTCGAGAAAAGAAGGACCTTGTCTCTGGCCGATAGTTGATTGCTGATTTCGGTCCAAAGTACGAATTGTTGGAACCAGAGAGTTTTCAGCAAAACCAAATGGCCCATAATGCATGACCGACCCTTTATTTGCATATACTGAAGCAATCAAAACTGTGGGAATACCTGTATCGTAAGGCATCTGATAGGTTCCTGCAATGCTTGCATGAACAGGTTGAAAATTGTTCCACCGTTTCAGAGGAATATTGTTATAATTAATCCATACATGCCGAAACTTAATTCATTACGTTGTATCGTACAAAATTCGTTTGATGGAGAAACCTGATCGGGCCTAGCTTGCTCATGGAAACTTCCTAACGCATGCCCTATTTCATGACTTATTATACCGACTGTGTCACAGCCAGGTGTTGAGATGGAAATTCCTTGTGTACCACCAACTTTTCCCACATATGAGGAACATCCACCTCCATCAAAGAATTCTAGACGATCGACATAAGGTCCATTTTCTTCAAACAGTAAACATGTGTTGTCTTGCCAAAGCTTCAAAGCTTTCCTGGAAAATGTTATAAAGATACTTTATCTTTACTCCAGTTCACTTTATTAGAGTTCTTGTTGGTGGCGGGACGGTATCAGCAAAATCGAAACTAATCGGCTGCGTTGGATTCCACAAGTGATAGACGGGAGCCAATCCAATCTAGATGATGAATTACGCAATTAATCTGTTGAATTGAAAACGAAATGAGAAGAAAAATTTATTACTTTTCGCTTTCTTCTCCTGTTTTTTGCATAAGCTTCCCGGATTTCCAGTACCTGCTGGACTGTCAAATCAACGTCACCTTGAAAATAGTCATCCCAATTATTGAAAGATAACTCGTCCTAAAATAAAAGTTTAATGTTTTTTTTCATCACTAATTCATTTGACCTTGTTCAATTTAGATGATGGATCCCATTTCACATCTTCAAATGCATAGCTAGCATCGTCTTGAGCCACTTTTCTAAAATCAAAAAGAATAGTGCTGTTGTTCAAGCAGAACTTACGTACGAGCTTCAGCATTCAAAATATCTTCGATGGTTCGTAAATCAGACTTGGAGGCTCTTTGAGCTCTATATCCATATGTGACTACAACAAGACATAACAAACAGAATAGATTATGACTCATATCTCAACAGCTGAGCCGAATAAGTTTGAATATCATTTAAGCAGATGAAAAATGAAAGTTCGACTGTTTCTTTTAATTGAAAAGAAACAAACTTTCACAGGAATGTTGCGCTGCTTTTGGCAACCAAGCGAAAACGAATGATTTGTGTTAAGCGAACTGATGGGTATAAGAAAAAGATTTGTTCAATCCTTAGAAAGAATTGATATCATGAACAGGTTTCATCTTCAACAGCAGTCCGGTTCTCCTTCTGAATCACAAAACCAATCAATTTAATATCTTAATCAATGCAAATTCAAGATTTTTGAATGTCATTCGCATTACAATGCCAGACATCAATGCTAACACATCGTATGAACCATATGAGTAACAAAGAGATAATGATGGCAACAAATTCTTTATTGTAAGAAAGAAGAAACCTTATAAGAACCCAGTGAAAAAAGGAAAAAAAAATTAAAATCTGGAATATGTTGAGAAATATGAAAATCGTGTTTCTCAGGATAGACAAGCGTCAATGGTTTACCCATACCCATTAGTTCATTTTGTTATCGTGCTCATCATTTCTACTAGCAAAATCTAGTAACTGCAATCATTGCGTATTCAAGAGATCAAGATTGATGAACAAGATGATACCTGTTGTTTTATTAATTTCCTCAAATCTATAACATCTTGTTGGAGCTCTTCTATCCTTTCGAGCTTCTCCCCATCTATTTCTAGCAATTGATCATATTTTTTAGTTATCTCCTCAAAATTCATAATTTTCATTTTAACATAGGAATAGCCTAACCTTGAGATCGATTCGGAGCTTTTGATTTTCGTGTCTGAGGATATCCATCTGTCCTCTATCATATAAATGTTGTTTCTCAAACTAAAAAGCGGAATGATAATTTCGCATCAGCAATTACGCTTTCTACATTAACATTCTCATTGTCATTTTTGATCATTGAAATAGAGGAAGTATCCGCGTTTTTAAGATTTTGCAGTTCAATACGAAGATTATCCCGTTCTTCAACCTGTAATTACATACTATTAGAAGGACTTGATTGATATGAAGTAGTACTAAAGCATCCGTTGTTTCCGTATTTTTCCGCACAAATCGTTCCATTTTAAGGTTAAATTCCACTTTTGCCTTCTTCATTTCTTCTCGCATTGTTTCCACAACGTCCCGAAGATCTTTTAACTCAACGCTCAAACTATTGAAGTCAAATCAATGCGTTAGAAAACAAAACTCGATCGTACTTAGCGTTCTCCTGCGAAAGAATTCTTTTCTGCTCGTCTGACTTATCAAGTTGGCTCTGTTGTAACTGCCTATCTTCTATTGACTAAAAATGACTGACACTTAAAAATGAAAGGTGATTTGCAACCTTTTCACTCAGAAGCTTTTGATTCTTCATTAAACTATCTACTTGTGCTGAATAATTCCTGATAACCTTCTCCGCCTCAGATAAACTTTTCCTTTCATGCGAAATTTGACATTGTAACTCAGAAATTTCTTCTAACAGTGGAGCATTGGCTGAAAATTGAAAATAATGTTGCCTCAAGAAAAAAAACAAGAAACCCATTGAAATGGCATCAGCTATAGCATTTGTATCCAATATTTCAATCACATTTTTCTATATTTGTTTTAATTTTATGATTTATCCATTTGTTCTTACTTGATCATCCTGATTAATCTGAGAAAGTAGTCGTTTGATTTCCTCTCTAGCATCTCGTAACTCTAACAACACAGCATCTTTCATTTCTAACGTTCTCTCTTTTTCTAGTGATGCAGCAATAGCTGTATTTTTATAATGTTCGATACTTTGTAGAAGTTCCTACAAGGAAATTACAAGAATTTGACAACGGACAATCCCTAACTTCCTTTTCTGCTCCAAACTGTTCTAAAACGTTCTTCTTTGTACTATCTTTTTCACATTCCATTGTCTAAATATTTAGGATTTCAAAGACTTATTCAAGTAGAACAAACTTCAATCACAGTATGGTTTTTCTCCAACTCTGATTTCAACTGACTAACTTCATTATTCTTTTCTTTCATTAAACCTTGAAACATTCGATTACTTGATACGTGTATCTGCCAACTTACTATTGATAGTGATTATCTGCTCTTTTAATTCTTCTATTTGTTCATTTAATTCCATTTTATCATCTTTCAAACGTTTCAAATCATTTCTCATTTTTGTAACTTCTCCCAATTCGTTTTTCAATCTTCTGATTTCCTTTGACTGCTTTGTTGAATAATCCAAACTACGTTTAGCTAACGTATGATTCAATAAGCCTGAGAAATGAATGAAGAAACATACCTTCTTTTACTATATCTTCTCTCTCATTTCTCTCTACCTGTAGTTCATGCAATAGCTTTGATAATCTGCAATCTATGATCAAAGGTAATGAAGATGATCCAAACCTCTCTTTCAACTGCTCACTCTCTGTTGTTAAAATATTATTATTAGAAGTCAACTGTTCTATTAGTCCAGTTTGCTCAATCTCTCGATGCTTATTGATTTTCAATTGCGTTTGCAGAGATGAAATGGCATCATTCTACAATGAGAAAAGTCTTATTCAAATTCATATTTCTATTACTCTGTATAAATTTTGATCGCTCTGACTTTCACATGCTCTACTGCTCCCTATCGACCTGCGAAGTACAAATATTTTAAAAAATTTCCCCAAAAAACATTAAAACCATGTATCCATTTGTCGAACAACTTCAATGTCGCTTGATACCACTGTTGAAGCTTCATCTAACACTGAGGACTGACGAGAAATGGTGGCTGGAAGAAAACAAGAGATGATCATCGCTATTCTTCTCTTTTTTTTATTACGTGGAAGAACAGGTTCACTGCTAATTGTTTGTTGTGATTCCATATCTTGCATTTCATTGACATCACAGTTTTTGTCATCTTCCAAAACAGGTGTTTTTCCGAAACCCATCGATAAATAATCAGAAAATATCTATCAAATACTTCATTATATATGATAGAAAATGGAAACAACTTCACTATCTGCATCAGTTTCATTGCTCGGATCTATTTGTGATGTGCTTGCAGTGAGCTCCTGGGATGAGAAATCGTCTGTTTCGGGTTTAGGACCATCGTTCAGTACATGCGAGGATGCTGAGTCATCAACGGCATAATTTATTTTGGTTTGATCATTCTAAGAATATAAACTCTTAACTTGATTTGAAAAATATGAATGAAATTACTTCTTCAGCTTTTATATCGAGCACACTATCAATCTTTTGTTGAGCATTTTTGAGAGCTGCTTTCGCCATCTCATTAGCCCAAGATAAATTGAGCATTGTCAAGCACTAATTGTGGGAATGAAAAACAATTATAATATATATATATATATATATATTTATATATATTGTGTGGGAAAAATAGCAACGTGACTTGAGAACAGATCGATTGAATGGGAATAATTGGAAATTATGTTTTGGAGCGTGGAACGCATCGCTTACGATTGGAGCAGTTTTCAGACATTTCTACTCATGAACATTTACTATTCTATAGAACCTGATTTGTTGTTCTCAATATGTTAGTATCTTGTAAAACAATGTGTCATGTTCTCACCAATTTATTATTATCAAAGTATCGCAATCATGAAATGAATCATGCTCAACTTTTTTTTCGTTAAAAAAACAATTTTATATAGAAGATTTCAAGTGTTGAACATGAGTGATCTATACAATAGAAAGAATTGAACAACCTTATCAATTATCTTTATATTTATTCATTTCAAACGTTATCTAATTTATAGATTAGGACGTGAAAGTTACAATAATAACAGAAAAGGGGTAAATGCAAAAATCTGATAAGCAGTAATGTCATTTTCAACCGTTCAATTGGCAGTTTTGGCAAAAACACAAAATTTACAAGTATCTAGATGATTATTAATAAAAGCTACTCTGTTTTTCCATTTGGATCACAGCATTTTAATGTTTGAAGAACTTCTTGTATCACATATAGCTGTCTATCCGATCTCTGGCCTACAGCAGCCATATCGACGAAAGAATGCCCTTGAGAGCAAATTATTTTTGTTATACCTATTTCTACGCCTACATCAACAGACAAACGGAGCATGGCTGAAATAAGAAGTTTGGAAAGAGACAAGGTCAGCTCAACTCACGATGATCCGCATCTACTAGCTCGCGTGACTCCTTGTATGTTACTTGAAGATCTCTTAGCTTGTTTTCAATTTCTAGAGAAATGACATCAACCGAAAGCTCAGTTTCAAAACTCTGAAGTGGATTATACAACAAATGAATGTATATCTATTGATTAATCAAACCTTAGCAATAGGTGAATTAGGAGATAACAAGCTTTCTACTGGAATATGACTTAGTTCGTTTTCAATTTGACCGAACAAATCAGATTGTTCCTGAATCATGAGCACATCTAATATCGAGATAAAAATAGAAATTACCGTAAAACAAGAAGGATTAGCAGTATCGGTTATTGATATACGAGGAAAGGTTATACCTCCCGATTGTATTAGAGAACTATTTTCAGATTGATCTTTCATCGTAGCTATTGAAGATAGAGGTTTTATTTCTCTGAAACGTTATTTCTGAATTACATAACACATTCACAAAGAGAACCTTGGACTTAATTCTCCTAATTTTTGGAATTCATCTTGAAGTGTTTGAATTGATGGACTATTCCCTGAACAATCTCAATTATACTGTTTTCCCTGTTACCATGTCTTTACCTGATAATGTGTTTTCATATTTTTTTTCTAACCCAGCAATTTGACTTTGATTTATTCCAATACCAGTCCAACTACATCTTCTATCAGATGATCTTGTTTTTGAGTACGGAGAATGTCTCAATGAGTTATTAACTTCTGCTGTATTCGCTAATCCATGAACTGTGTAACGTTTTCCTCCAAATTTATTGAGATATCTTAAAGTTAACTCTGTGATTAGCCCATCTCTCTATAAAAAGAACGAACTTTTGCCCTTCTTCTTCTATAGACTCTTTTGATTCTGCATTTTGGAAATAGGACGCTGGCATTTGATTTGTTGTGAATTCTTCGCTGCATGAGTATGATTTACCATCTGGACAAAAAAAACAATCAGATTACTATTAAACTTTGTTTTTTGACTAACCTATTGGCACAGCCAGTCCATGTGGCGTATCTATTTTCGGGAAACTAAGCAGTGGTTGATTAGTTGGTGAAATTTGATTCATATTCATCATCATATGCATAGCACCGTTGTGGAGATTGTGCTACAACAATTCTTTACAAAAAGTATGAAAAATGTCTGAGTACCTGGTTCAAGTTGAACTGCAGAGCTGCATTTGCAGCACAAAGTGAATGACGCCTAAATCAAAAGATGTGTGAAGTAGGATTATTATATCAACGAGTGCATATTTTTGAAGTATGAACCTTTGTTCTTCAACTGTTATAGGTCTTCTAATATGGCCTTCAATTCCTGAAACCTCTTTCAACACTGATATTCTATCTTTGCCAAGCAACTCGTTGAATGACTCGTGTGACTGAAAAATTGATGTAACTTTGGTTTACTTCCTTTCCTTTTCACTTCGCTAGGTGACATGCTAAGTACAGAGAAATCATCTCTGCGTGCTCTTGCAGGATTAATCGGCATATCATCCATTGCCGAATTAACTCTGAGTGTACCACGAGAGTCTCGACGACTGGGAGACAGCTCATTCTTTGCTGCAATATTAAAACATTGATATGACATCAGAAAAAATAGATTGTTATCAGTTGAACACTGACATTGATAACAATCTGGTTTCAGTTTGAAATTCAGAAAACTTACAATTTACACAAGCCTTTATTTTATCTTGAAGCATCAGGTAAGTACCGTAAGCTGGATGATAGAAATCTGCTCTTTGAACAGCCTGTTCAATAGAAATTTGATAAAATAAATAATTTCCGTATAACTTACATCCATTATTTCTTCTATTGAAAAAGTTGAATTGTTCATAATGAAAGTAGAAATAGTTGGACAAATAACAGGTATTGGAGGAGGACTACTGGAACTACTTGCTGATGTGAACTCGAAGTGAGTGTACAATGGAATTTTCTCTACTTCTCCTTTAGCAGCTGTTGGAATCCATCTTTAGAAGTATTTTAAATTAATAAAGATAACTTTAAAGTATGAAACCTGTGAGCCAATACATTTGCCATAGTATATCGCTTAGAGGGATCAATGACTAGCATTTTTCGAATCAAATCAGCACATTCTTTGAGAGAAGGAGATGAGTAATGAATTATATTGTTAATATCATACCAACAGAAACAAAATATGGAATTTTGACATCACATAGCATAACAGCCCGCTTCAATGCATCTATAGACTCAGAAGGAAATGGGAAACCACCGGTAACCATTATATATAATATGACACCAAGAGACCAAATATCGGATTTGGTCCCATCATATGGTTTGCCTAGAAGTTTGAATAACAATCTATCAATGGCAATTAGAGATACCTAAGAGTAATTCAGGAGCAGCATATGGTGGTGAACCACAAAATGTACAGAGAAACCTATTATCTAACTGAACATTTGAAAATCCAAAATCTATAACTCTTTTCCTATAAGATAACAATAACACAACTTGTTACCTATTAATTTGACATTATTCTTGCTATCTAACAGTATGTTTTCAACTTTCAAATCTCGATGAACAACTTCTATAATCAATAATATGATATTATGCTAATATAACTATATGCTAACTGTTTCCATGAAGATATTCTAATGCGTTTCCCATTTGTACAAATAACCGTTGAGCTTCTTGCTCACGTAATCGTTTCTGCTTTAATACATAATCTATATAATAAAGATATATTTATATATATTATAATATATATAATTATACCATATAGTTCACCATTTCGACAAAATTCCGTACAAATATATATATATCTATCAGTTTGAATAATCTAAAAATGTAATAAAATTGAAGATGTTAATGATATTCATAACTAATGACTAACCTCATACAACTTAACAACATGTGGATGTTTAAATTTCTGTAGCAATTCTATTTCTCTGTCGATTTTAACTATACTTGCTTCATCTAACTTACTCTTATCAATTATTTTAAGAGCAACCTATAATATAATATATTATTATTATTATATATATATAATATAATTAATATATTTTTTATTTAAATTATATACTAGATTATACTATATGTTATATACAATATTATGAATTATAATAATTATATACCTTTGTTTTAGCTATTGAATGAGATGCTAATTTAACTTTTGCAAAATTTCCTCTTCCAATTGCTTTTATAATACTATAATATCCAACCTATAAATAATAATATATATTATAATATATAGATATATATAACTAACCTGTTCAATAGTTG